TTCATTTTCTAATTAAATTATGACCGTTATAATTGCTCGATAATATATTGGAGCAGGTGTTTGCATGCAAATATCTCGAGATGTGTAAATTTCATTACTATTTTCCACGTGCCAACAGGCTGGCAAGATTCTTTAAATCTCGATTCGAACCTAGAGATTAAAAATTCACTGCACTCTTGCTGTGTACTTTTCTCAACATAAATTACGTTAACTCCGATACTCGACCGATCGTTAGTCCTATTTTATATTATTCACCTTAGTAGGTAATTATTTTCCATCCTGTCACTCGCGTGAAAGAAATACTTTTTATAGGTCATTAACTGACAGTGATTCTTATTTTCCACCTATTTCTGTGATCAAAGATGTCTCTGAAGTCAATTTTAAAAAAGATGCCTCGAATAATAAGCGAAATCTATACCGATTGTTTGAATGCTGAACTCATTTTAGAGACCAGCTGACGGTACTGACGTCTTTTTATACCTTCTTTTGCAATGTTTAATTATGAAAAAGATCATTTGTTTTCGGTGCTCATCACTAGCAGTTTTACCTCACGTTTCCATCAGAGAATATGTTAAAAATGACATATGCTACATATAACTACATTTATTAATAAATATAACTTTCGAAGTTCTGGTGTTTATGTAAGGCCTCTTGTACTATTTTTTTATCGCAGCATCTACTTTTTCTTAATCGAATTGCCGATAATAGATTTGGAATAAATACTTGATCGCTGAAAATTTCATAATAAATATCATTTTAGTGCTAGTACTAGCGATTAATTAAGCCAGAATTTTCAGTAATAAAAATTTTTATCACAAACTAAAGATTTTATGCATAAAGAGCAAATATTGATCAATTATATTGTTTTTAACGTTATACTATTGGAATATTCTTATTTAAAAATTAATTATTCGAGAGTTTGGCCAGTGAAAGTTTCAAGTAATCAATTAAAGCTTTATTGCCATCAGTTTGCAATCGAATCATTAATTCCTTTAATATCTAACAAAAATCTCGAAAAATAAGCTCACTTGACTTCTCTGTCTGTGAAATCATATTATGACAATCAATATTAATTTAAAATTGAACCATCTTTGGAGATGCGTGAATGAGTACAATTTTAGTGCCATGAGCTCAATAATTAATTTTTTGACAATTGAAAGATTTATCAGATAACTTCATCTTAGATGTTGAAACGACGAAGAACCAAATTTATCAAAATCTTTCACTAGTGCACATTTAATTAATTTAGGGTCGTGTCATTACGTGATTTTTATCAAAAATCCAACGGTTAATTAAATTCTTACCCCATTCACAACTCCAAAAAGACGTGAAAAAAACTTTGGGCTGATCGTGGCACGAATAAATGCATGAACTAAGTGGTCAAAAAATGAACAGAGAGTAGTAATTAGTAATACTCAAAACTTGGTTCAAAAATTCAGCACCACAGCGATAGTGTACAAAAGTGTAATGATGGTTGAACGGCCGAGGTTCAGGTAAGAAACAATTATTCAGGAACAACTTTTAATAAAATTTTAGAAAAAAATAAGTATGAGTATACATAAATATTACAATTGTCAATCATTTCTTTTCAAACTTGTGGCATGCCTAATCTTTGCAACTTTTGTGTATTTTCCATAGGTGTCTGAGCAAATCTACTTTTTGTCCAAATTTTTTCTCGCACTTGTCGCATGCGAAATCTTTGTAACCTTCGTGTACTATCTTCCGATGTAAGAGCAAATTTGATTTTTGTCCAAATTTTTTCCCGCAATTGTGGCATGCATAGTTTTTACGACCTTCATGAACAGTCTCTTGGTGCCGAACCAAAGTACCTTTACGTCCAAATATCTTCGCACACTTATCGCATGAGTAGTCTTGGTGACTTTTGTGGACTGTTCTTTGGTGCTTACGCAAATGATGTTCAAGTTCAAATTTCTTCTCGCATTTGTTGCATGCAAAATCTTTGCGACCTTCATGGACAGTCCTCTGATGATAGAACAAAAGCCATTTATATCCAAATTTCTTCTCGCACTGGTCGCATGCAAAATCTTTGCAACCTTCGTGTACTGTTTTTTGGTGGTCGAGCAAATGTGAATTATGTCCGAATTTTTTCGCGCACTTATCGCATGCATAATCTTTGCGATTTTCGTGTACTGTCTTTTGGTGCCTGATTAATTGCGTTTTTTGTCCAAATTTCTTCTTACAATTGTTGCACAAGAAATCTTTCCGACCTTCGTGCACTGTTTTTTGGTGTTTTATCAAATTGCTTTGACCACCAAATTTCTTCTCACACTTGTCACATGCGTAATCTTTTCGACCGTCGTGTACTGTCTTTTGGTGTAAAAGCAAACTCTGTTTGTGTCCAAAGTTTTGTTTGCACTTGTCACATGCGTAATTTTTTCGACCTTCATGGACTGTCCTTTGGTGATGAAGTAAATGAGATTTTTGTCCAAATTTCTTTTTACACGTATCACATGCGTAATCTGTCCGACCTTCGTGGAATGTTTTTTGGTGTTTTATCAAATTATCTAGAGCTTCAAATTTCTTCTCGCACTTGTTACATTCATTATATTTCTGACCTTCATGTACTGTCTTCAGGTGAAAGAGCAAATGGCACTTTTGTCCAAATTTCTCACCGCAATTTTCGCACGCAAAATCTCTGTGACCCTCGTGGACGGTTTTTATGTGCAAGCACAAACTATGTTTAGTATCAAATCTCTTCGCGCACATTTCGCATAAGTAATTTTTGAAAACTTCATGAAATATTTTTTTGTGTTTGAGTAAAGTTGATTTATTTTCAAATTTCCTCTCGCACTTGTTGCATGTGAAATCTTCGCGCTTTTTGTGTAACAATTTTTGGTGCGTAAACAAACTTGATTTTTTCTCGAATTTTTTCTCACACCGATCGCATGCAAAATCTTTGCATCTTTTGTGTTCTGATATTTCATGTCTACTCAAATGACTTCGGAACTCGAATTTCTTTTCGCATTTGTCGCATTCGTAATTTTTTCGTTCAATGTGAATTGTGTTTCGGTGTGCTATCATCCTTAATTCTAGCGTAAATGCCGCCTGACAAATATCGCAAACGTATTTTTTTTCGTCTGGAACAATAATTTCGTGTTCACTTGAATTAATTTTAAAGACGACGTCCTTGGATTTCTTTTCATTTTTATCCATTTTGGTGCCTAAATGAAACGGAAATTTTATGAGTAAATTTATCTTTTGGTATTATGACTTGATTCATCGGAAAAGAAAACATTCAAACTAATTTGTTTTTATTATAAAAGTATAAACATGATCAGTGTGTTGAGAGATTATTTCAAATCAATTAATGGTCATATTGTTTACAATTAAATTACCATTTATCTGTTTATAGTTGTTCTTATAACATTTGAAACAATTTAAAATTTGGTGAGGATTCTTTCGAACAATTTTTCGGGCTTCTAAAACTAAGTAATTAGAAAAATTTCCGACTTTACACACAAAACATTCAGTAAATATATCCTTTTATACGTATAATGAAAATTTTAATATTCATTCCAAAATTATCCGCCCCAACTCATGGCGTATTGACGGGCTCCATAACCCGACACTACTTACACTGGCACAGATAGTTTTGTCAGTGCTATGGAAGAGAAATGCATGATGCTTTCTTTAAGAGTCCATTTAAGCTATTGAGATTAAAAAGAAAAAAAAAGGAAAATTTTAAATTTTATTTTCACTCGTTCGATGGCATATTGTACTGGAGAACCATATAATGCAGAACACACAGCATTTTACATTTTTTTTCATATGTAACCTGCCTTGTGGTCTTTGTTGTTGTTATCATTTCGAAATTGACACACTTCTTGCAACTTTGTCTTTCTTTTTACGCGCTCGCTGCGGCGAGAGGTTCACACGATGAAAAGTCGCGCATAAATTACGACGCTTTAATTATTACGTACATTCATGTGTGTGTGTGTTGTATGTGTGTGAGTGAGTGAGTTAATATACACAGATATGCATTATATGCATGTAAAGGAATATGGAGCTTTGTTGAACTGAAGATACAAGAGATCTCTCGAAGCAACCTTTATCTTAAAATTTGTACATAATCTCTCATACGCTCGAACCCAACTAATATTTATATCGCGATTCAGCTGAAGGGTAGGTAGCGTTGGCTCGTCCGTGGTATATAATATGCTACTAGCGATTGCGCTCATGCACGACAAAACAATGTTAAAAAAAAACGTATATTATTTAGCACAAAGCATGCGCGATGGTGGCGGCGCTGCAACAACAGCAGCAACAACAACGAGAGCATAATACGCCGCGCAGTCTTGTTTGTTCTCTGATAAATGTCAAGATAACATCTCGTTGTGTAATTTTAGCACGAGCGCGCGCGCGAGCCCACGGCGAGCTTTTTAATGCTCATGGGGAAATGGCAGCAAGTGAAAATTGCCCGCCTCATACACTTATCCGAGATTAAATAATGCGACGTGTGCGAGTCGGATCTTTTCTCCTGCCCGCCGTTTACTTCTACAGAGGCGATGTTCGACAGAACGAATCAGGGCCCTTACCACTTAATCATCGCGAAATACTCTCACCGCACACGAACATTTAAAGCATAGTATCGTAGTTTAGTTTTGGCTGTTTACAACAAGGGTATAGCATGAAAAAATGTTCAAAATTTTCGGACTAGTTTTTGGACAATTAAAATTCTTCAATAATATTTTTTGGAAGTAAATAAATTCATACAACTTATATAATTATTACTTTAATGTTCCACTTGTAGATTTACAAATAAAGGTACTCGCCATCTAGAGGTAAACGCTTAAAATAATTTAAAACTGGAAAGAAATTTTTTGAAATAATTAATTTTTCATTTCTACGTGATTTATATTGATCTGTAAAGTATTTAAACGAAAAAATGGCCAAAAACAAGCCAATTAATGGTAGTCTCTTGTAAAACATTTTTTTATCTGTTTTGGTCATTAGACCATTATTTATGTGGAGTATTTTTATCAGGGATATTATTCATTAAAGAAAAAACATCATCTTAATGGAATTATTACGTTTTATAAACAATTTAGAATAGTTGTAACAAAAAAGTCAAGTTTCTTCAACATAAAATACACAGTCATCGATAAAATAAACTTATGTATAAAAATTCTCGAGAATCCATATGTATATTAACTAAAATTAAACTTATATACAAAATAAGCAAAATAAAACGTGAATAGGGAGAGACATGTTGAGCACTCATTGTTGTTCGGTCTGGGTGGATTGATGAGCGCGCGAGGGCAGCGGTAGAAAAGTGTCCCCGATGCTGAGCGACCCCTGCTGAAAGCGTTGAGTCTCCCTGGAGGCGCCGCGAGGCGAGGCCGTCAGCGCCAGTTGGCGCATTCGAGCGATCGGCTCGCGGCCCCGTATTCTGTACCAGCCTCGATGACGCTTCGCAACTGGACTGTGACAGATAGCTGTACCTTCCAAAAAAACAAAGCATCGTTGTAAAGAAATGTCGGGTGATTAATGAACACTGGTGCATGAAAGCACAGACGCGCACAATAATATAATAAATACGAAGTTGCAAAAAAAAAAAAAAAAACAGGAGTGAGAATCAGCCGAGGCGAGCGCGCGAAAATGTGTGTAACTGCATTGTTCGCGCATTATACGGTGATTATCGCGTTTTCGTAGGAGTCGGAAATGCAATATGTGCACCTATCTTGTCTGCAGTCTGCCACGACCGCGCGGGCACGAGAGCAGACAATATATTGTAATAATACATTCAAAACGATTTAGAATTTAGAAATTCATTTGCCATAATTCGAGTGAATAATATCCACGCTTTATGCGTCCGCGCGTTTCACATTATTTTTTTTTTTTTTTTGCATTTTTATAATCGTTGCGTCGTCCCGATATTGCACAAGTCGAACGATAATTTACGGAATAATCACAAATATATGAGTATGAAATTTAAGGTTTTACTTAATCGCGAACAACTATATTGAAACTAATTAAACGAATTTGAGAGCGGTTTTCATAAAATCTTTCACTTATCGCGTTAAATCTTTCGATCGTTAAAAAATGATTCTGCAAACGCTCTCGACGCACGTACAAAGATTATACCGTTTTATAAAAATTACGCGAAAGTACGCGCGACTGCCTTTAAAGAGCTTATACGACGTTAATTTAGAGCTCATTCGGCATTCTTCTTCGAATGAAAGGCTACCACTTTTGCTACATACAACTTAACTGCAACTGACGAAATAAAATTTCAAGCTCCTTTTGAAAAAAGGCAAAAACGTCGCAACATAGTTGTCTTTCGGTTGAGTAAGAAAGTTTGTTATTGTGTACATCATAAACTAGACAGTAACAAACAAGCGTGAAAAGGAAAACGATAGTTCTGTACTCTCATGATTATGAATTATGTGCGTATGATTTTCATGCGACGTTGATCCAAGGATTTTCTCCTGGTCAACAAGAGATGATGTGCAAACGCGTAAAATCATTAGACGAATTCTCTCACCAGGCGAGTCCCGAGCTGGTCTGTTTGCGTAATAACGAGCGTTGGATTGCTGCAGCTGATGCTGTTGCTCCTCGTTATTGTCGGGAGTAGATGCTCTCGGGCGCTTCGAGCCGACCTGAATCGAGGAAGCCGATCGCTGTAGTGGCCGCTGTGGCCACTGCTCCAACGACGACGTCGTGGCGACTATTTCATTGGTCGCGCCATGACCGCGGGGAATCACAGTCGTGATCTCTTCCCGGGCTGAAAACGAAAGGGATGCTCGGCGCGTTACGTGAGCCCCTCGAGGTGTTTGAAGCTGTTGCTGGTGGTGCTCGTTTGGCTGCGTTGCTGCTTGTTTGTGATCCGCCAAGTTGCTACACCAGCCTGGATCGCTGTGGCTCCGGACTAACGTCTGCCCCGATATCGCAGCTGCAATTATCAATCGAGTTTATAAAGTTCTCTCGGGCGGTATACCGGTTCAAGATTTCGCGCGAATAAAGGTATACGATCAAATTTTTGGCCTACACGAAATATTGACGCGGAAACCAAAGATCAACAAAATAATTCGCTCGAAAAACCAGCTTCAAAGTATCGTTATGATTCGTCAACGAAGGCAAAAAGTCATAGCGAACTTGGTATTTTTATTCGCTTACAAAGTATATATCGCACACTTGCATCCATAGAATAGGAAATAAATTAAGAGAAAGTTCGAGAAAACTCGAAATTCCGATGCACGCGAGCCGGCGTCAAACATTGTATAGCATATAGCAGTTCTTTTATTGTGCACACATATGAACACGCAGACACACGTACGAAGGTTTGCATGTATAAAAACAAACTTTAGCGAAGAAAATAAAAAAGTCCCTAGATTAAATCGACTGGCGAATTTTAATGAGAGAAGGCCGTGAACGAGCGAGTTTCAAATTGTACTTGGTTTTAAACTCTGCGCTGTGCATATAACACGGAGATTTCGATGTAACGCCCACACCTTCGAACACGTATAATCTTTTAACCTTTACGCAATGATCGTTGTTGCCGTTCATCGGGTCCGCCAAAAAAAGTGGTTAATCGAATGAAAATCGTGCAAAAAACGAATTATATCCTTTAATCCAGCGTATGAAGAATGGAACTAACCCGGTGACTTTCATTTTTAATTAACACATCATAACTGCGGCGAGTGCAAAATCCTCAAGCAATAGAAATAGAAACAAAAAAAACTAAGAAGAAAGCCGAAGTGGACTCGAGTGTGACATTGGCGCGTAATTAAGAAGAAAATTTGATTAACGGCGCACTATACGAAGCATCCAAATAATATCCTTATTTTCAAAACAAAAATGTCTAAACAAAAGCACGTGTGCAACAATGATCTCATTCTCACGTGAGAGTCTAGACTGCACTTTAGAGCAGCAAGCGCGTCAAGCAGAAAAAGAAATAGTTCGGGTCTCTCTGCTGCTGCTACTGCGTACTTCGGGCAGAAAAATCAAAAGTAAGCGCAGAGCAGCTACTTTTGTTGCTATATGTACGCAGGAGGAAGAGAGCCTCTGCCTCTCTCGAGGTGTCTTGGCGCGCGCGCGGAGGAAAGATCCACAATGAAAAATGCGCAATAGGCGCTGCAAAAACGCATGCATATACACACACGCGCGTAGGTAGTGCACCATTCATTCGATCCATCTGTGCGTAGTCTCTCTCTCTCTCTTTCTTGTACATCTGTAAGGATTTCCCGCGCGCGTACACACATAGCGCGAAAGGAAAGCAGATAGCAGCGTATATGAAACTCTGCTGAGCGAGACGAGGAGCTTGCAACATACGCTCGCTGCTGCTGCTGCTGCATCGTCTCTGGCGTAACTCGTTGCGCAGAGTAAAAGAGAGAGAGACGCATCGCGTGGCCTGTAAAATATTTACCCGGTAACTTGTTGAATGCCGATCGGACAACTCGCGCGACCACCGAAAAAATCCCGTCCGACCTGCTGTTGCTGCTGCCACAGTCACCGTCACCGACGCCGTGAGTGCTCGGATTTTTTTGGCCCGCGCTCGGACTGGCGTTGCTGCTGCTGTCGGTGCTGTTGTAATTGTTATTATTATTATCGTCTACTCCCGGCAGACTGCCGCAGCTCGAGTTCGGCTCTCTCTCTTCGATCTCGAAGTCCAGATCGGAGCCGAATCGACGCGCGCACTGGCTCAGGTTGCCCTCCTGCTTGGGCGTGGAAAAACACTCGACGCGGCCGCTGATGCTGACGAAGTCCTTGATGGCTCGCACGCCTCCGCCGTTCGGGTGCTGCAGCTGAGAGGATTCGTGCTGGTGATGATGGTGGCGGCTGCCGGCGGTGATCAAGCTGTTGCCCATTTTCGGGGCTATGCTCGACGACGACATCTCCTTGTTCGACGAGGCAAAGTGTTCCAGGGACTCGCCTTGTGCTGTCGTTACAATAAAAATATCTGCATTATTGCAAGCTCCGTATTCAAAATAAGGAGGTTATTGCCAAGTTTATTTCTGGGTTATTGCGCGCTCGATTGTCTTCTTCGATGGCATTGCAGCGCGTCCGCGACGACGATCGACGTATTACCGCGAATTTATTACATCGTCGCGGAGGCTGCAGCTGCAATTACATACGCGAAATGTATAATAATATTACGATATATACAACAGGTTGTCGGTGATTTTAAAACCCAAATAGAGCAACTACTTATGGCGCGGTAATTAAATGGACATTTTTTACGCGTGTGCTGCCGCTGCTGCCCCCCTCGATATCTATATAGAAAGTCTCTCTCGTCGCTCGGCGACTGCGTTTCGACTTTTAATTTTCTTGGAACTGCATACGGACGGTGAGCGCAGCATTGCGTCATACGCGTGCCGAATGTTATTATGATAAAGAGCCGCTGCACGCGGCATAAACTCGTATATATTATACTATGTTCGTCGTTACGCGGGCTCAAAAAGTATAAACTTATTTTTTAGAGTGTCAATAATTATTAAGAGCTTGGCCAATGCGGCGTTACGCGTTGAGACTAATTTTTTAAAAGTGTAATAAACTTAACGAGTCGATTTAATATTTAAAAACTAACGAAATGACGCAATGTGTATATCATATACCTTTTTCGCACGATATGGAAACGGTTCCATTATCGGATCTCTGATTAGAGAACGCTCCGTTCTGCTCGAGCTGCTTCAAGCCCGAATCGATGAGGGGCGCGAGATTCATGCTGGAAAAGCTCTTCGAGTCCGTCTGCTCGACCACCAGCATCATGACTACCCTCGAGGACGTCGACGAGGTGCTGGTCGTCGAGGCATTGGCAGATAATTTATCGCTCACGATGGCTACATTTTCACTTTTGAGCTGTTGCTGTTGTTTTTGTTCGCTTTTGCTCGTCGTCTTCGACGTTTGACCAACGCAACGTTGCCGTTTACGTTGACAACACTCGTGGCAATTGCAGTTTCCATCCCTGCTGTCCTGCAGCTTCTGCGCGTTTATGTCCTCCTCGGGATCGAGATTCTCCTTGGCCTCGAAGAATATGTCGCTGTCGGCGCTGTTGGCCGTCATATCGCTGTCGACGCTCGTCGTAGTACCAGCTGTGTTGTCGGACGATAGCGACGACTCGTGATAGGCCGGTATGCACAACTGATCGCTGAACCTCACTCGCTTCTCGATCGAGTCCTCGCGCAGGCCGCAGGTCGAGTCGTCCCGCACGTGAAGCAGACGATCCAGCAGGTCCGGCTTCAAGATGCTGCGCTCCTTCTTCAGGTGAGGATCGAAGGCGGGATTCGGTTTGGCGCTGGACTTGAGCGACGGTGTATTCCAGGCGGCTGAGTCGGCCTCGAACTGATTCTCACTGTAAATCATGAATTATGCTCACATGAGACGTGACTTGCTTGTACATTGTAGTTATTGTTGTTTTATTTTTCGTATTAGCCATATAATTATGAGCATGTAAATCTTTTTGTCTTGTCGTGTGATCGATGCTCGACAGTAGATACACGGGGACACAGACGAGACAGAGAGAAAGAGAGAATGTAAGGTTGAAAAAAGATTTCTCAAAGTGATTTTTAGAATGCCGTGACACCTGTGCCAGCCATTGTACAGCTTTTTATTATTTACGTCATAATCTGGGAATCACGTTGATCGTATCCGATCGTCATTGTTATTGCCCGTCGCACGAGTTCAGTGGGTTTTTTTTTTAAGATTTAAGATGGCTATGAGTTCATAGAGATTCATTGCCGATCGCGCGATGAATAGCTCAGCAGCTGCGATTTTTTACGTAGGCCGATATCATGGCCACGAACGACGACCATATTTCTTGGCCTTACCCAGAATCGAATCTCTCGAGCAAGATTCTCTCGGCGCTGCTGCCGACGCCGGTGTAGTATCTCGACCGCTCGGAAGACGAGGTCGAAGACGACGAAATCGACGAGACGGAGGCCGCGAAGCTGCGCTTGCAGCCTACCGACGACGGTGTCTTGAGAAAGAAGTGCGGCAGCAGATGGCTGGCCGCCTGTCCGTTGAGATGATGCTTGGCCGCGATCGAGACCGCTGCGCCGTGCATAGGCGTCGACGTGTGACAGACCAGATCGGCGGGCGGCGACTCGCTGAAGTTCTCCACCGCCTTGAGCCGGGCCTTGTGCGAGCTGCCCTGGACGGCGCTGGCCAGCAGCGACTTTTCACTGCTCAAGACGTCCGAGGATGGCTGTTGTTGTTGCGGCGTGACCGGCAGCGCTGTTTTCACCGGACGATGATGGTGCTTTTCGTCCGCCTCTTGCTTGATCGAGCGATCCTCCTTCGTGAATCTGCGAACACCATCATCGATGACTCGTCGATGCGATAAAGGTTCATTGAACCGAGGAGAAAGGAATGCGTCTGCATGCACGAAGTAGTTAACCTTGCGCGCGAAATACAGCGAGTTTTGTCATCTACGTGACTGGGCAACAGCGGGAATCGACGTACAGACCGATCGCGTTACACCGACCTCGTTTGCTCCTCGTACGTACCTGCAAGGCTTGGCGGCCAATATTTCCAGATTGGTGGAGTACCTCACGCCGCAGAGCTTGCAGTGCAGCGGCAGATGATTGAACACTATGTGGCAGAGCACCTCCGAGTTTTCGGGCTTGAGCTCCTCCTCGTCCTCCTTGGGCGGCTTGAAGAGGACGGGCTGCGCGAAGCAGAGATTGCACTTGGCCACGGGGTGCTTGTTCCTCTCGTGCGTACCTCGGCAGTCCTCGCAGCAGAATACCTTGCGGCAGAAGCGACACTCGTTCTGCTGTACTTGATACAATACATGCAGGATAGCGATATAATTATTGTCTCTGGCTTTATATTTTCTTATGACGCTGAGTCAATCTATAAGAGCATATACGTGAAATGTGTAACGAGCTGTTATAGCGGCTACATTCACTCGTATACACTAATATAGCTGGCTCAATTAACTAACTCTTATACGATTATAAATAATGAATAAGTAGACACTGTATATTGTGCGAGCAGAAAACGAATTCGTGTGCAATATAAGAAAACTTTCTACGAAATTAGTCGATTTGAATAGAAAGGTAAACATTTGCGCGAATAGTTTTAATGCCAGCCCGCGATATTCATTGATAAAGTTTTCAATTCATTTCTATTGATATTGCCACAGTAGGATTGTATATTATATTATATGAAAGTATAAAACTATCGTCGTAGCCCGCGGTATACAGGAACGCGCAGACGAATCGCCTCGAGGATTGGAGCGATTCCCTCTCGTTCGTGTGTACGTATGAACGAAATTATCGTCACTTTTCTCGTTTCGTACCTTTAATGCACCCATATTTACAAACGGAGAGCAGCAGCAGTTTTAGAAACTACCACTGTATCGCACGAGTATGTAAAAATAGAAACATTCCTTTTTTTGCGCGCACGTGTGTTCACTTCACCGGGTACTCTAACTGAATATAAAATTTTTCTATATTTATATATAAATGTGTCTCTATGTATCGATAAAAGGGCTCACCTGTCGAACTGCTCTATGTGTGCGGCATGGAACACGAGCGCCGGTCTCTAGCCGCACACGGGCGTGGGGAAATTTAGTAAACAAGCCGGCGGGCCCGGCCGATCGACTTAATTGTTGTGACACGCGAATTGTCGCGGCATGCGCGCGAGCCGCGACCAATTACCAACCGAAATTCACGGCGTCTCTATCTCTCGATTATTATATAGAAGGTGGGATTTGAAATCATTCGAAGGGAATGATTCGAAGGCAAGTAATTTCGCAATACATTTAATTTTATTCAACGTTTACTCATTATACAGCTTTTTCTTTGTGTATTGGTTAAAATTTTTTTTATAGATATCGCATATGTTGTATATAATAATTACGTATACGAAGTGACCCGCACAGACAAATATTTCTACAAAAAAAGTATTATTTTTTTTCACGAGAATGACAATTTTTCACACCGCTATATATTTATATAACATTATCGATTTTGTTCTACATATAAAACATGAAATGCGAACTTTTTCAATTCATAATTTAATTTTCATCTTTCAACTATAGTCTCTATAGATAGACCACTGATAAATCGTGTTTTCACTATCAGACTATTTTTTTGCCATAAACAATTTTTATTAAAACACACATATTGATGGACCATTTTTTTATCTGAAAAATACCTTGAAAATTGCATCAAAATTATTTTACTTCTGCTTAACAGTAATAGTTTTTTTTACGTTATCACTAACCAGTTTCTATTGATACAGAAAAATGCATAGCGAGAAAAAGAATAAAGCTGCCTTCAAAAACATACGATGATGGTTGGCATTTAAGTTATATATGGACGGCAACTCTCACACTATAAATGTTCGCTTGTATACGTTGAGCTTTTTACGCAGCATAATATCTTACACATAAACAACATCGCATAGTCATGCATTTCAATGTGTGTGTTTCGTGCTTCGTCACTGAGGACGTGTAGCAAAATTGTTTCAATTTTTATCATGTATAGCTATTTCACCAGAACCTTTAAAGGTAATATAACATCTTGTACGTATATCGTTTTACACTTTGGAACGATCACAGACCTCGGTATAAAAAATTATTTGTTTTTTTGCGATTAAATAATATCATCTCGTTTTAGTTTTCGTTTCCTTTCGTTTCTAAATCGATACAAACTGCTGCATTAGTACAAAAATGTCGCCGCACGTTCGCGAGTACACAAAAATTGTCGAAATCGATTCCGATGTATTGACATGTACGAATACTTTATTATAAAATAATTTCAAAATGAATTTCGATGTCATCCAAGCTCCATCGTGTAGGCCTTAACTTCTAACACACTCATCGATTATACGAGAAAATAACAGTTCAACTAAGCAGACATAGTAGATATCGCGTGTGACAACTCGTAACACTTATATAAATCATACAAAATTGTATACGTAAATAATAGAGGAGCTTAAACATCTGAGTATTTCATTATTTTGTTGCACATTTCATAAAAAATAATATTTATTGACTCATATCTAATTCGAGTTACTCTCCAGTATAAAAAGATTTATATAACTTACAATATAAACATATCAGGCAGTCAATACCAATAAAATTCATTTCAATTAATTTCAAATAATTCAAAATCACTCTCACACATGCAACCAACAGTGACGGATTGGGTCGACTCATACGATCAAAGTATATTTTCTATCACACACTGACAGTTAAAAAATCTCAATAAAATTTAATTGTACACTTTTTTGATTATCGATTGAGTCTTCTGCGAAACATCGATAATCCATGAATAGAGTAGACGATTATAAAATCTTAAAAAATCGTTTTACGTATGATCAAGCTTTGAAAGCAATAGTTTTTGAGTTTATATTTAATAAACATTCATCCACAATTTTTTGGGGAATTTACTTCTTCGATGATAATCAGATAACGAATGATCTGTGAAATTTCATTCACAGACTATGTAACTAAATGTATATTTAACTGGAATAAATAAATCTATTTTGTGCATGCATAACATTAAAACAAATTAATATCATCTATAGCAAGTCATTTTTACATTGATAGTAAAAATAAATTTGTAGTCATTAATTTAATAGTAAGAACATTGCGTACTAAATAATGTACGCAACAATTGGCTTCGTCAAAAAAGAAACGTATTAAAATGCATAAGTCATATCACAAAGACTAGAATAGAGAATGAACTTTCTTTGAAAAAATGATAAAAACTATAATACACTTTTGTGAGGGTGACATAACTTATCGTAAACGATTTGATCGTTGTATTTTTGACGTTCGTTTGTTTTGATAAAATTAGAGCATCTTCGCACCATTTATAAAATGGTACATTTTCCTGAGCGTCGTCGCTTTCTTCGGTTTTTGTCTGACTCTGCTGGTTGTTGATTTTTGATGATCCGTACAACCTGTCATCGAAAAAAATTCAGTTACATCATTACATTCAAATTAATTATAGTATTAATGTAAATTCTCAATGTGGCACACCTCATGGAACGCAGCATCTACATTTAAAGGTGGATCTTTCGCTGAAGTCTCGATGTAAGGAATTCCCAATTTGTGCGCCAACTCCCTTCCTTGCTCTTCGGTAACTTTTCTCAGATGTACCAAATCAACTTTATTGGCAACGAGAAGCATCGGGTAAACATCTCTGTCTTTTACGCGTAAAATTTGTGTGAAAAAATTGACGATATTTTCGTACGACTGTTTGTCCGTGACTGAATAAACTAATAAGAATCCATCGCCCTTGCGCATGTATTGTTCTCTCATGGCACTGAACTCTTCTTGGCCAGCTGTATCCAGAACTATAGAAAGACAATTCATTAACATTTCAATTGAAAAAAATTAATAAAGAATTCACATATGAAGGTTTAGCAAAATATACTGTCAAAAACAATGTCTTGAACTACAAAGAAGATTTTTTAATAGTAAACAATACATGTATTTCTTACCATCCAAAATGCACCATTGTTTATCGACCTCGGTGTGCTGAATGTAGCTGTCCTCGATAGTGGGATCGTAATCCGTGACGAATAGTTTTTGAAAAAACTGTATGGTGAGAGCACTTTTGCCGACACCACCATCACCTACGACGACCAATTTGTACGTCACCAGATTAACGTTGTTGGGTGGTCGCGTCATGGTTGTTCCTTTTTCGATCCGTAATTCTTTGACCGATTGCGTTGACTGAAATGAAAAAATTGATACATTTTGGATCAAAGATGCTGTGTATTTTATTGAAACAGTGTTGCAATTGTCCACAAATAGCCGCACAAGTCGAAAAGAATACTTTGTACCTCGAGTCAAAGAAAATCGATGCTTCAATTAATTTTCAATTTATCAACTATGCATAAACCAAGTCGAACGTGGATAATATAAATTTTGTAAACAGGCGTGATATACAGCGACAATGCGATGGGAGAAGTGAAAACGCAGAGACCGATTGACGTTAATAGGATGTAAACTCATAGCGTGCGATTGAATCGAATTATAAACGTTCAATACCCATAACGAGGAGCGCAGATAATCCAATTTTCTGCTTCATTGGGACAATTGGAAAGAATGACGCAAATTGTACTACGACGCATCCATCATCGGATCGTTAGCGAGAATAATATTGTAAAGTAAAAAAAAAAAGAGTAACTGCCGAGAGCTCTAATCGTGTGTCGAGCGCGAAATTATCTTCCACGCGCTTAAAAAGTTATATGCATGTCCCCGGCATGTGATACTCTGTGCCGCTATATATACGGCTGCGAGCTTGCAACAGGAGAGCTTTGCGTATGTATGTATGTATCGGCATGTACATGCGATGCGCCACCCGAGTCGTCGCGATGCAGCAGTCGCCATGCGAATGCCATTGACGTCAGTAATCAATTATCCATGCCCTTCGACGATCTATATTTACATTAGAATGCAGCTACTAAATATTTCCAATCGAAGACTCGTGTACTTATATACCGCCTTCGTTACTTTTCCGCTAGATAGATGAAATACATGTATCGATCGTTTCCTGCCGCTATACTGCTCTCATTATTAGCTTTATTTTCTGCTTCTCGGAATTAAATATTAAAATAGTCTCGCGCAAGTACTAGAGAATGTACGTGAGCAAGTGGATCAAAGCTTGTATCGCAAGACGATGTAATCGATTACCAATGATTCATCAGCCCACGCATATCAATACTGTAATTGAATCTGTCATTTCCTTGTTGTAAGTGCATTATTAGATCATACTATGGAAGATATTCTCGAATCAAATTAAGAAACAATGATTTCTTATCAAATACATTTTATAATGAACAATTTTTCCAAAAAAAAATCAGTTTCATTCAAGGACATGGGGGTAGCTTACACTTTTGATCATCAATGGCGTCGACTAACCATTTATGTTTCGAAAAAACAAAATTCCTGGTTCAAACCATTTGCAAAATACCCCGTGTTCTAAGATAAAATAGAAGATTTTAAGATTATAATACAAATCAAACCGAAGATATAACAATTTTTTATTGAAAAAATTAAAGTATTTCCAGAGCCTTTCAATGGTTCGCAAGCTTCATTTAATATGATCGACGGTATTTATTCAAGTTTAATTCCGCTCGAGCCGACCTTGGAATTTGCAGTAAAAGCTATACATTCTAATATCATGGTTCAGCCTCCGACCTTCGCACGCACTGTTTTATCATCGAAAGCAAATCGAACATCACGGCACATACCCTGAGCGAGAGATCCGAGGATTCCAAAAGTTTCAATATACGTACCTCGGACGTAGTCAGACGCTATATTTAGACATAAAATAATACATAAGACACGGTTCGCTCGTGTGAAAATGCGTGAAATGGCTCGATTTGTGCCGCGCGAGTAAGTAATTTTTTTTATCACAGGAATGCACGCAGCTTATTTTGGTCATCGAGATATGCCGAGAGACAGACAGAGAGCAACACCCACGCATTGCAGGAAAATATACACACAATCGTGTGCACAAATATAAACGCGGAGGCACGTATATATGTTGCATTGCTCTCGAAGCGAGGTGTGTGCGTTTATAATGAGCTCCGAGGAGTGGAGTAAAAAAAAAATAATGCAACATCGACGTCGACGACTTACCTCGAGCGCTCGTGATCGAGTGTGTCGCACAAACAACAGAAGAAGAACGAGAATAAAAAAAACGTCACAGCGAGATGCGTCCGAGAATTGCCAAAAAATGTGCGTGATAGGTATAGGTACACAGACACGAGCGCTTATACTATTTTCACCCGTCCGCGAGACGCTCAATAACGCGACTATCCGCGAATTGTCTAAAGCCTCCAGCCTGTACCTATATATATCGTCGTGTGTTGTATGTACGCTGCTGCACAGGCGTAGCACATGTGTATCGTTATAACTATATTCAACGAAACGCCCTTGACGGCTGGGAGAGATACAGCGCGGCGGTGCGGCGGCTGCAGACAACCATTCGCCAATGTGCTCTCTCTCTCTTTCTCCGAGTTATATACATATATACAGGCTACAGATTAATTTAACTGAAAAAATTCCAACCTGTTAGATAAACACGTGAATATTTTTTATTCATTAATCAATTAAAATTTTTTAATAATAAAGTATCGAAAATATAGCTATAAAAGCATTTGTAACGTCTGTATAAATTCATAATTTTTTTTTAATTGAAAAAGCTGTTAAAGTCACGCGTTACTTTATCAACTGATGGTTAAGCGTGCCCGATCGATGAATAATTGTATAAAACATTTTCAAATTGTAGTCCTTTACACTATTTTTATTTAATTTTTTATCATTTATCTTTCATCAACTGTGGTTAATAGTTATTGAAACTAATACTCACAAATTTATGAAACAAACAAATTTCATCATTTGGAAAAACATAACATTAGTCTTCGTGTTAAATAATAAGTTATGCATAAAATTAGTTGCCAAAAATAAGAAGACAATGACAAACTGAGTCAGGTATATTCGTTTCCCTAAAGTCGAGTAAGTTGAGATTTCTTTTAAAATGATTTTCCTTCAGTTTACGTGAACAGTATAAATGTTCGATCTTAACTTCTCCAAAATATGATATGTCAATCAACTATAACGAAATATGGTTTATTAGGGGAAATCGAGGTTTTTTATCGCTCATAGTTATAAGGAACAGTCACCCTAATATAATTGATATTTTTCGAAAGGGAATTTCATGAGCTCCAAAAATGATATGATAAATATAAATACGTAGGCGTTAACGACCACTCCAGACGATCATTACAGAGCGTTCAACCATAGAATGACTTTGCAGTGCTTAACCATCCTTGAATATTCCATTTGCTTGGAATTAATCGAGTCTTGGGCGCAGAGATTTAATAAACAGTACGATTACTTTCAAAATTTTTAAATACCCGTTTAAATGTCATCGAGCAGCGCATCATGAAAATTTTTCTTGTAACCGATTTGCATCAGTCGCGAGAAATAATTAAAACCGTCTCAAAGTCATCTCGAAGTGCAAACGAACGTTTTTCATCTCATTTGCGTGCAAGACAATTCCGGGTGAAGCGAGGCCGCGTAAGGTTCATTTACCTCCGCATAGGCCAATGTGCCATGCCTTTAAACCTGAACGAACGTGTCCGAACGTGTCGAGCGGCATCGTATCCCATTGGTTGCTCGCCACGGCTTGGCGGTGGTTGGTCGCGAGTTATTGCAATATATATATAGCGCTCACAGACACGCGTGCTCCATAGATTTCATATGGGTGCACGCATTTCGCGTCTCGCCACTGATCTGCTGCAGTATCAGACTCTCTCTCTCTCTCTCTCTCTCGCTTTATATTATATGCTTTTCCTATAACAACACGGGGATGAATCATCGCGGGTAAGCAACGTTGCCATATTTTCCCTGTAAACCGTCTGTCCACCACCACAATACAGTCTGTTTGTGTATATCGTGCGTCCGCAAGTGCAGCATCTAGACGTCAAAACATATAAATACGGATCGTACGAAATGTGACGTCAAAAATTGCTCTTCACGCGCTTTCTACTAAACACACAACACAATGACACGCAGTAAAATGGATGCGCGCATCGCGCACGAAGACGTTTATTATTTTTTTCACCAGTGTAAAAATTAGAAAGAAAAACAACAAACAAGTGCGTGCATAATTCTTGGTATATTTCTTCGTCTCTGTGCAGTCTGCGTTTCGCAACCGAATAGAAGTGTTGTGCCGTGCTCCGAACGCGTGAGCAAGTTTGCTTGGGGGATAGTATATAGTAGAAAAGAGAGAGGGACGCCAAGGCGCCAATAGCGGAGTGAATCAGTCGAACAACGACACTGTGCAGCTAAACAACAAAGAAATCAGCAGCAGCAGCAGCAGCCAGCAGTAGGCGCTTTGAGCGCGCCTCCTCGCACACGCACTCATCGCGCAGCTCATCAAAAACTACCTGTATAATATTTCGTTATCATCGTTCTGTCGCTGCTCCGAATCATCACATTAAAGAGCCTTTCTTGACTTTGTGTGCCGCACGCGCCACCGCCGTCACTGCCGACCCTGCATTTATTTTCTTTGTGATATTATTTATAACAAAAAAACGCATCAGTCAGATACGTTAATCCTTTGTGTTCATTGTGTGCACGTCTCGCGCTGCTCATATTTTCCCTCAAGATTCTCTCTGGCTTACGTGTAGCATGAGAGATGGAGCAGAAGGATCGCCAGAAGATCGATCACCTGTGCAGTCAGCTGTTGCAGGACCTTGACATTTGCAAACTCTGGCCGAAACTTTTGGAAAACAAAGTTTACAACAGAGATGATGTCAATATTCCACATTGGCTGGTAATTTTTTTTATCGGTCTTTAAAATTATCCGATTGCCTATTCTTGCCGAATTTTAATTTTTCGTTCATGTGATTTTCAGAAAAGTTTATCTGATGCAGCAACAATTTTAGATATATGCTCCACCATTAAAACTAGAGGTCCTCATGCATACAGCAATCTTATTACAAGCTTAAAAGAGTCTGGCCATCAGAATGTAGCTGAGAAGTTGGAAAATTATTCACTCTCTCCCAATAACATCAACTACAGTAATAACAATCTTAAAGAAAATCTTAAAGAAAATAAGTTGGAAATACCAGCTTTAAAAATTGTACCAACTCAAAATTCAAACTTTATAGAACATTCCAAGTAAGTTTAAAAATGAATATTAATTTTTTATTGCTTTACTGGTATTATTATACTAATATCTATTATTTTTTTCATTACTTACTAGGGATGACTTTCATTTCAAACTAGATGAATCATTGGAACCATTAATTATCAAAGTAAAAAAGGCAGAAATTTTTAGAGATGGACCAGAATATGATCATATTGAAAAATATCCCATGAGAAGTGATCCTAGAGGATATGTATTAATTATTACAAACATTGAATATGATGTTTTGGATCACAGACCCGGGGCCAAGTATGATAAAGATAATATAAAAGAACTTTTTGAGCAGATGGGTTTTAAAGTTATAACACATACAGACTTGACTGGACGGGTAAATATAAGAAATTTTCATGTTATTATTAAGCTATTATATAACTTATAATTAATTAAATTTGTTTATAACACAGGCAATTAAAGCAAAAGTAAAAGAATTTGCTCATATGAAAGAATTGAGAAAAGTGGATTCAGCTTTCATAGTGATTTCTTCACATGGATTTGGGGAAAGAGGCAAGCAACAAACAGAAATCAGAGGAATAGATTTTAAACTTACAGATTACGATCCAGTATTTTGTACAGATATAATTGATTATTTTACCACAGAAAATTGTCCCTACTTGAGTGGTAAACCGAAAACATTCATATTTCAAACATGCAGGTAAATTATTGCTTGTAAATTTTAGCTCTATTTAGTTATTAATAAAAATATAATTTAATAAATTTTCATTTGTTTAGAGGTAATCTTCATCAAAAATCAGTTCCTCGAAACGCCACAGACTCTGGGATAACTGTTTTTGAAGATACAGATACTCCATATGAATTTTCATCCCGCAATTATGAAGATACTCTTATTGCTTATGCAACCTTACCAGGACATGTTGCTTATCGAGATAAATACAATGGAAGTTGGTTCCTTCAAATTTTATGTGAAGTATTCATGAATTATGCCCATGAATTACATCTTCATGATTTATTTCTCAAGGTAACTATTTATTTAGAGGATTAAAACATTTTACTTTTTCAATGCTAAACTTTTCATATAATTTTAGACTGACAGTAAATTGAAAGACTTCAGAGCCAACCACAACAAGTGCCAAACACTGTGGATTGTAAACCAAGGTTTTCACAAGCACTGCTACCTGAACCCTGGACTTTTTAAGAAGAAAAACGAATCAACCAAATAGCATGCATTTATTAATATAAAGCAATTTATTTAGTACAATTATTAAATGTTTTAATTTTTAGTTCGAATTTTAAATTCAATTAAATAATAGCTGATTTTTATTTATATTTGTTTATTATCAGTATATTTTTAAAAATTTTGTTGTATTAACAAAACTATAAATTGGTTTTGATAAATTGTTTATGTCCAAAAGATGAATATTTATATGTTAATAATGATTGTGATAAACAACGAAACGACTTTTATATCCTCTCAATTGGTAATTTCTATCAATTTTTAAAATATTTTTAAATAAAATTTTTTAAAACAAATTTATCGTGCATTCATTAATATTTAATATTTTAATTTCATACCAAATCGAAAAATCCAGAATAATTTGATGACTCATATCACCCCCACCATTATCATACATGCGTGCATTTGTCGAATGAATAGCGCTGTTGCTGCGCCGCCAGTAGAGCGCTCCGATCAGGATCAAGGACCGTAAAGAAAAAAAGAGACAGAAGATATGGAATTTGAAACTTGAAAGTTCGACTGCAACGCGACTGACTTACTCACAGACTCTCAGTTTCTGCTGGCCAGATATCTGGCTAATCTGGCAACAGAGCATGAGATGGCCAGTAGACTGCATAATAATCACCTAGTACAATACATTTCCACTTTTAACTCTTTTCGATCCTCGATATGATAAAGAAAAAATTAATTTTCAGTTATCGAGTTTGCCATGAATGTTTGTGGTTTGCGGTGATAGTGACAGACCTCTGTGATACATAAACGTATTTACACAGGCCATCAACAGACACCAGTTGCTTTGGTTTTAGTTATACGTCGTAAGTAAGCTTTTACTGATCATTGTGCTTATACATAATTTATTCTTTGTTGCACCGCGATATGCTTCAAATTGACAGCACAATCTATTGATCCATATTTACTTAATTAGAACGTAAATTTTGAATTTATTACGAGTACTTTCAATTATAATCGAATATTTTTATACGTTGCATTCGATTTTGATGTACTCATTTAATTTTTGTTTTTATTCTAACAAAACTTTTGTGAAAAAATAAAAATATTTTGACATATTCACCAATTATTATTGCTTAGTTGTACCTAAAACCAACATATATTTAATGATTTATCAAAGTATGTTTGATTTTAGGAAAATATTTCAAAATGGAGCAAATCAATTTAGTTGAATCTCTGCAGAGTTTGGAAATTAATGTTATTGAACGACCAGAAACACCATCAACAGAAAATTCTGATTGCAACTCTCTTAATAGCTCAGAAGAGGGTTCATCAAGGTTTTCTTTTGCAATTTTCTTAATTCACTTTTCAGTTTTTTATACATTAATATACTTTTTAAATTTCATATGTTATAGAGAAGATAACTTTCATGAAAAAATACAAACGGTCAAAGATCCTCTCATTATAAATGTGAAAAAAGCTACAAAATTCAGAGACAGACCAGAAATAAATCATCTTGGAGTTTATCCAATGAGAAGTAATCCGAGAGGGCTTGTACTTATTATAGCTAATAATTGTTATACAGAAGAAAAAGACAGCAGACCAAGTGCAGAACATGATGAAACTAATCTAAGAAAGCTTTTCACAGATATGGGGTTTAAAGTAATTACCCATTTTGACTTGACAGGAGAGGTAATAAACAAATTTTTATTTAGCAATAAATATTTCAATATAAAATAATTGCCAATAGGAAATTTGACTCATGTATTTTCTTAGGATATTTTGAATAAAGTACAAGAATTTTCTAAACTGCCTGAACTTAGACGAGTCGACTCTGCATTTGTCATAATTTCTTCTCATGGAAGTGGTCAAATAGGCCATCAAGAGACTGAAATTTTAGGAATTGATTACAGTTCAAATGATTACAAAAGAGTTGTATGCACAAATATTATGAATTATTTTACTTCTGAAAATTGTGTGAACTTGACAGGAAAACCTAAAATTTTCATCTTCCAAACTTGCAGGTAAAACTTGATTTTTAATAAAGTTGAATACATTTATGAGCTTATATTAGAAATTTATTGAATGATTTTTTTTATTATAGAGGTAAAAACGTACAGGTTGCAATTCCTAGATGCAAAACAGATGCAGCTACTACTCCAAAACGTCAAACTGCAAATAGATATGTACATTCTTCAGAATCATTAAGAAACTATGAGGATATGTTGATAGTTTACTCAACAATACCTGGATATGTATCATACAGAGATGAATATAATGGAAGCTGGTTCATCCAAATATTGTGTGAAGTTTTCATGAATTATGCCTATAAAATTCATGTACAAGAATTATTCAATATGGTAAGTATATAATTTCAATAATTAAAAAAATAAAATTGAGGCAATTTATTAATTTTTGACATTTAATTATTAGATCGATTTGCGTCTGAAGACTGTACGTACTTTTAAAGATAATTGCCAAACTCCATCTGTTACATCTCAAGGATTCAATAAATATTGTTTTTTGAATCCTGGATTATTTGACGATAAGAAACATTTTAATGGAGATACAAGCAAAATGGATATCACATTCAAATGCTGTCCTCATAGGAAAGCAAATATACATGTTTGTTTTGAATGTGAATCTGTGTACCATAAGAAATGTGCTCAAAGAATTGGAAGCATTACAACTACTGGTAAAGTCAAAGCTCTTTGTTGCTCAGCAAATCTCCAAGCCCATAGCAATGAAGTAGATAATAGATCTTTCAATGAAACTGTTGATGAGCTTAAAAAAGTATTAGCTGAATTGAAAACAGAAAAGGAGATTTTAAAGCAACAAATGCCTAATATCAGAAATAGAGATGATAATTTAATTTATACTGAAGCCAATTCTAAACCAGAAATTTTGAAAGAAAATGAGCATCTGAAACAAAAAGTCCAACAACTGACAGAGAGAAATAATGAATTGTTAACAGAAAAACTTGATAAGAAAAAAAAGAAATGTCATTGGGTCAAAAGAAAATTTGGTAGAGTATTAAAAAGAAAACGGATAAGAACTTCAAATGTAGTTGAACCACAAGATATTTGAGAATCACGATGTTGCAATATAAAATTGATTTATATTTATATAAATTTATTATATTAATCATAATCTATAAGATTATGATATTCATATAAATTTATATTGGTCATATTCTATAAGATTATGATGTTCAAAAGTCTTCCAAGTGCCTCAGACAAATGAAATTTTTCATCATTTATTGTTATCATCATTTGACTGAAGAATAAGATTTTATGTAATCCGCTTTTAATAAGTCAATTGTAATACAGTGAATTATCTGTGATAATGAAGCATTTGACATTCATAAAAATAGTGGTACTGCCAAATATGGCAAATATGTCCATGGAAGTAAGTACTTTAAATAATTAATTTTTTGAAAGTACTAGCAATAATTTACATCAAATGTCTCTCTATACAAGATAATTAAAATTAGTGGACGCTTCTATAAATATAATTATTCATTAAGTTTTATTAGATCCAACTGCAATTGTAAAGCGCAGAATGCCAATTTTTACATTTAATTTTAATTTGAAAATTTGTTGATCTCAAAGAGCACAATATCAGTTATATGAAATATTTTGTTTTATACTCAACCTTTGCATTTATCAGCATTTAAATTTTATACAAGAGTCTATTTACATAGTGTAATAAGATACCTATGTACAATATAGAGTAGTTAATTTTTTAAGGAAATATATAATAGCGAATGTAGCTGTAGTAGTGATGCAATCTTTACCTATTTTACAACAAATGGCGATTGCCTTTGTTTTAGATTAAATATTTTGTTATAAAACATAAACATAATCAAATATAAACTTGTACAACTAAAAATGAAATTAAAAATTCATTTTATTAATCCAAAAAGTTCGTTTTATTAGATAAGGAATGGAAAAAAATAAATTGGTCATTTCTAAAACAGTACTTTTAATTTCTCCACTTTTTATAAAAAAAACAGTCTTTTACAAAAAATACAATTGTAACTTATACGTCATACCACTTATGAACTTTTACATGCCCGTTTTAAATAATCAAGTTTTTAGCTGAAATAGTAAATTTGAGTACTAATACTTCAAAATGAGTACTACATTACTTCATTGAGTATTAATACTACTAAATCGGCTACAATTAGCTTTTGACTGAATGGTAGTTCATTTCATTATACTGCAACTTCTCAACATACATATGTTAGATTAATCAAGTCATTTTATGTGGTTTGGAAATAGAATCAAGTTTTATTAAAAGTCTACTATATACAATGCAAGCGCGTTATATCTGAAGTTTAGTTGTGATAGTAAAACGGAAATTGTCTTGTGTTATAATAATTATATCTTTATCTACTGATCCTAGGACTTTTACGATTTTCAAAACAGATAGGAATCTGTCACTGATCTTGCTTACAATTAGTATTTACGAAGTATTTATTGAAGTCCTTTCTGCTTCGACACGTAACAAAATAAAATAGGTCTCAGTACAATGATTCAGCGTTTGATGATCGGGGTTTCTTGATTTTTTCCAAATTTTTGATAACGAGATCATGAAGTGAACAGTAGCGATTACGGATCTCGCACATTACTAGCCATAAGCTAATGTATTCTTTTTCATCTAATTCTTGTACGGCTCTTCTGTAATCTTCAATGTGAGGATATTTTGCCACTTTGCTCACAACTTTAGCTCTTGAAATGAAGTACCTGAAAAAACAAATTCATTCATAATTGAAACATTTATCAAAAATATTGAATACTTGTTAATAAAAATATTTCATACCTGGATATTTGATCAAAAAATGCAGCTGCTTCGCTCTCTACTGCCTGAACCTCTGCTAAAGTATCTTCTTGAATGGACACTCCAAAATTATTTCCATCCTCTATTTTGGGAATCATAAAGGAAATCCACATTTTTAACTAAAATAAATAAACATAGCATTTAATACACATTCAAATAAAGTTACATAAAAGTCATTAAGTTCTAGTGATAATGTATTAATAACTAATTTATACTCACTAGATTAGAATCTTCTAAGAGTTGCCTAATGTATGGTTTGACTATACCAATCAAGTCAGAAAGATTCTTATTACAAGGAATTGGGCCTGATGTCAGAACCATAACTTTTGTCCCAGTGGGTATTTCAACACTGTTGTCAAGTTTAGCCTTTTTAGTAACGGGTCCATCATCAGTATGATTAACTGATATTGCGTCTGGAATAGGAACGTTCAGATTTTGATGTACTTGTTTCAAATCGTCAGTGCAAAATCCTGAAGTCTCTAGGATTTCATTGAGTTTAACAATTTTTTCTGGGAATCCTTTAATAATCAGTTGCTCTGCCTGCAATGAGACATTATTAATTATTGATATGCTATTCGATACTAAACAATCTTGGTACACTAAAAATTTACCTTTGTTTTAAGCGAGTCTTTGTAGTCTTGAACCTGCAAAAGAAACTTTGATAAAAAAAAATGTTTAATTTAAGACAAATGACATTACACTCAAAAAACATCAACACGCATGATTTGAAAAAAAATTATAAAATATAACCAATCGCGGATCAAAAAAGTATTTGAAAAGTACGAAGATACATTGTTGAAAAAATAACGACTTTCATGAGTCTGATATAGATGCGATGTGTCAATTACAAGAGAGCTTTAGAACGATCAAAAATTCCCCAGTACATAAACACCGTCTCTCATCAGCCATATTGCATTAGGACTTGTATAGCGATAAACCAACTGCCAAGAACACCGACGGACACCGAGTGGATTTCATTGCCATTTGCGATTAACTTTATAATGAAAACCAACCCGCAGTGTTGCTCGGACAATAATCATGAATGATGATAGATATTGAAATAATAACGAGAAAATCTCACGGATGCATTCTTCAAATTTCTTGAGGTCAACATGACTGAACAAACTTCGTCGGACATGATCGTGATGAATTGAATTTGGTGTGTAGAGCTCAGGCCGAAATAACTGCGAATTTACCGTCAAACAAAGAGAAGTACCGAGCTCTTTGGGAAGCTAGACTGCGAGTCCTTTCCGTGACTGATCAGCCAAATGCAAAACGCACACTGACAACTTTTCTCCGGCGCAACGAGCAAGTATAATGAAGAAACAACAGACGTGCGATTTGGCGGCTTAACCTCGAATTCGCGCTCGTGCGAAGCAGTCAATATACAGCAGCGCGAATTGCCGACACGAGGCGATGCAATTTGACACTTTTTGTGCGTGCACGCGGCCACGGGCCCGAGAAAGAGCTAACGGACGGCCACTGGGTCGAGTCGAAGTTCGCGACGGGAGGCTTTATCGCCGCGTGCAAAATATAAGAGAGGCGATCGCCGAGTGGATCGATCCGATGCGCTGAAAATTATATTGCACACACAAGCAGAAATTTACCTTCTGAGAAGTGGTGGCCATTATTTTGTTATTGGTTGGAACTTGCTACGGTCGATCTGCTGCCTACTTGCAAAACTATAAGTCGAGTTCCTCGTGGACCTTCGAATTTGAGGTAATGTGTAACTGACGAGTTGCTGCCGAGTGTTATATTAGCCTGAGCGGAATGGTGAGAGCGTTTACAGCGCGAGTTGCTGTTCTCAGCACAGCAGTTCGATACGGCCAAGCAGATTCAAGAATTGCCGGCTCGAAGCAGGCGATGGATCGGGGATACCGCGTGTCAGGAATCTACTCGACCTACCGAGAACGTTCGCGCGGAAATAAATACCGCGACGACGATAACACGAGCATATCCATTTTGCGCCTGTAAAAGTGTCGTTCGGATTTACAGGCAAGCATCGCTCGTGTTCGTTACGGAAGGCGCTAATTCGAACGGAGCTTGGAACTTCGAAGTGAACATTTTCAAATTTCACTCTTTTTGATTCGATCAGTTTCTTCGGCGCGGGACTCGCACTATATAACGGTTATCTTCTATGCGATGAGTAGCACGACGCATTCGATTGATAGCGACGATGGAAGTTGGCAAATATTTCAGTGAGTAAACCCGTCGAACAATAATAAAAACAGGTAAATATTCGATCAAAAGCAAATTGTAGCTGCAAAGCTCAATGTAATTGGTATTAATATCATCCATCGACACTGGTTAGTAAGGCTATTTATTCTTATAGTCTCGGAATGAAGAATTAGTAACAAAGCCATATTTTTTATTGGTTAGTTTATTCAAAACTACAAATGAGTTGACAAAAACTCAGTTTAATGAAACATATCGAACAATTATGAGATATATTCATAAATAACTTGCAATCTATGTCAAAATAACTCCAAAAGGCTAAAGTCTCGTTAAATTTTTCAGCAAAATCACAAGTTGAAACATCTCGTCGCCACCTGGTTGAAACTTACTCCAATTTTTCGAGATATCATTTGATTCAGTCCGTACGTCGAGGATACCAAAATGACGTCGGCCAGTGAATCGACACAGAGCTATTACCTGCCCCGGGAAATCGCCCTGATGCAGTACAAAAGCGCAAAATCCAAGGATCCGGATTGCTGGCTCACCTGTCGAGGCGTCGTTTACGAAATTCACGAGTACATCAAGTGTCAACCGCAAGGCTTCATCAGCACCTTCCTCATGGCTCACGCAGGCAAGGATGTCGGCCACTGGTTCGAGCCTAACTTGCCAAATGCAAAAGCAGTTCCACCGGTGAGTTTACCATTGTAATTCAAGCAGCACCGTGCAAATTTGAGCTGGAGCAGATTCGCTTTGTGTACGTGCCTCGGTGTTTACTTCCAACATTTTACAGCTACTTAACGCGCGCCCCGCTAAACTGCACGCACCTTAATTATACGTGTGTGCGTGTGTGATTTGTAATCTTAACGAGAACCTGTTGCAACTCATTGCTCGAAGCGAACGACCTTTTCACACTCGACTCCGTTTTTGTATTATTTACGCACACATACGCACCTCCGCCGTCATACATAAAGCAGTCGGCTCCGGTGATATTCGACTGCTTTGTCACTGCCTTGAACATCGCTCAACGTTTCATAATTAACGTTTTTGTGACTGCACGCGGCTACGAACCGCATCATTGTAAAAAGATTATGCAATTAAGCGTGCCCGCGAACAAAGCGACTGCTGCTGCTGCTCAAAGCGCGAGCGCGAATATCTAACAACAATTGCGAGAGCATGAAAGAGAAAGAGATTAATATCCTTCTAGGTGGATGTTGTTTGTACAGTCAAAAAATGCTATCCACCAGTGAGCATAGACGGCCTTCGTCTTCGTCGCTACGTGGATCCCGACTCGGGTAAACTTAAATTCCTGCTGCCTTTCACAGTGCCTCGGCCACCCCATACCAAGTTTGCGCTCGTGCCTCGGAGATGCGACTGGGACAGCGGACCCGACCTCTCGCTAACCATTCGAAGTCTGCCCAAGGATCCCTGCGACGCGAATGGTGAGAAATCATCCTCTCTGTCTGTTATGCTCCTCAATCGCGCTCAGCTGAGAGCAAAGTAAGGAAGACTCGCGCTCTTATGTAAATTGTCTCTCGAGTACCCATCGTGGTGGGATGTGAATGACACTTTCGAGTGATCGATCGGTCTCCCAATCCCGCGCTGCTTATACACGGCGACGCGAAGTTCGCACCGAACCGTCTCACAGTCCTATCTGTCAATCTTATCTTGCCATCTCGGTTATAAAGTCGTCGAAATTTCCCGCACGATTCGCATGATTTATGAATAATATATAAGTTCGATATTGTTTTGCCATCGTTTCGCATCGCGTGGTGTATGTACACAATAAGCACCTCGGTATCGGCAAAAAATGAGCAAACACGATTGAGCCTTTATCCGCGAGGAAAGTGGCAAGTGGCAACAAAAAAGCGAAGGAGATGTAAAAAAGAAAAAATATTAATTGCCAATTGTTTTGGGAATATGATGATGGCGTTGGCGCTGCGCGAATTGCATCGGTGCTCGTCGGGCAACGTCGGGATGCTGCAGCCACGGCAGACGATAACGTAACGGTACAGTGCTGGTCTGACTTGGAGCACATCTTCAATAGCAAGCAGTACCGGCGTGGCTGGGTGACAAAAAATCCAAGACCTTGTCGGATAACCAACACTCTAACGGGTCAAGGAGCAATTATATCGGTATACCATAGAGCGCTGCATGTATATGCACTACAGGCGCTTTTAACATCCTTCTTTCTCTCGCTCTGTACTGTGCTTCGCGCCGTGGCCTCCTCCTGCAGTCTCGGTGGCTCCAGGCACAGCTAGACTGCCTTGCCTCTCTACCCTATCTTTCTCTAATCGTTCGTCATAGAAATCTAATCTCGCGCACTGCACTTTCTCGAATCGATCAGTTGAGAGAATAAAAGGTAAAAAATAGTAAACACAGCTCCTGTATCAACGCAGAACTGTGTTCACTCGTTGTTGTTGTTGTTGTTGTTGTTATTGTCGGCTGTTGCCGTTGCCGTTGCCGCTGCTGCTGTTGTTCTTACGGGTGATGGTGCAGAATGAGAGGGAGAAGGATAAATTAGAAGAGAAAAAATATATAAAATAAAAACTGAAGTACATAATTCGTGTAAAAAATGTATATTGCACACACGCCCGTTTGGTATATATATCGGTATAGGTCTGCGAGGAAGATAGCATCAAGCGGATCCAAGAGCGGTTCATGTTTTACAACCCACACTGCCGATCGTACACCTGGAAGTACGAGGGAAAGGCCCTCGATCTCGATCTAACCCTGACCGAGAACGGCATCCCCGACGATAGAGATCGGCTGCTGGAGTGCGGGCTACCGACCGACAACGAATCTATCTGCGTGCCTGAGATTTTTTTGTTCTACAACGACGATTTGACGGAGGGCGACTGGTCCTAGTAGTTCTTATAACTCTCGAGATATAGAAGAAGATGAAGAAGTTGCCTCGTCACAATTTCGACTGCGAAAAAGAAAGAGTTTATCATAATGAGCAGCGCTCGTAAGGCAATAGATAAATATTTTTGTACACTCGCGCTCTAGCAAAGTTTGATTAATAAAGCACCGCAATACAATTTAAATTCTTTTAAGAAAAAATTTACACGCAACTCCGTTCTTGTTACACATATACAGTACACTCGACACATACACATACATACATTTATATAGAGGTTTGTTATACGCGTGTGCGTGTTCGCGGTGTGCGTATATATATACTCAGAAGCCATCATCACATTCCTGAATGCGCTCAATAGAAATTTGCTCGTCCTTTCCCACATATAGTAAAAGTCTCGCTATATATATTCTGCTGCTGCTAGTGCCTGCGTATATGATGCGCGCACGAGGAGGAAAAGAACAGTCATTCGCAATATATATGTGTGTATATGTGCGTGTGCGTGCGGCAGTCTGCTCGGTATATTTGTGCATACATGCATTCGTCGGGGCTCGCTCCTACTTGCATTGCGCGCGCGTGTAGATAAAAGAAGGAAAATTCTCAGGAGCAGCAGCAGAATATATAGCGAGACACGAGGCACCGTAATGATTACCTCAGCGTGTATTGCTAGAACACCGTTCGACTCGTCCTTAAATATCTCGATGTAGGCTGTACCGTCTGCCTCGACCTTGACTCTTTTGCCACTGCAATAGCTGCTCATGCTATTGCTTTTGCTATTGCTACTAGCAGTGGTAGGCGCGTCATCATTATCATCATCATCATCATCATCACCATCCTCGCTACTGCTACCACGGACTTTTTTGCCGGATATGATGTCGCAATACTCGCCCATTGCCATACCCGTTTGCAAGTGTTCCTTCAGATCCACTCCGTATTCACCGTTGAACGCGATGAATCCCAAGTTGCCGCGCGAAAAGGCTGCGAATGAGATAAAACGTTTGTTGTGTTATTTTAGCTCGATGCTCGAGCGAAAGCTCTCTGCGCGCCGTATTACCTATTTGATTGTGCCCGTTGGACCACCAATTGCTTACAGCACTATCGCCAACGACGTTTTTAAATCCGGCCATTTGGTAAATTTGTCGCCATCGATGCTCGCACACCCAGCCGTTGCCACACATGTTGATGTCTGCGCCTACCTCCATGGCGCGCTTGTTCGCCGGCTCGGGTGACAGTATTGCACCGCGACCTTCGCCGGAGTCGTCGTCGCTCGTCGGTGGACCTTGATTCGGATCGTCGAAAGCGAACGAGCTCATAACGCGCGGATGACCGTACGGATAAGCCAGCATGAAAGCTACTGCCATCTGCACATAAACCAGCGAGGCGAAAAATCGATTAGCTCGCGATAAAAAAAAACGAACGTAAGGGAATGGCTTTTTGTTATACGGATCATTGCACCTTGTAGAGGCGAGCGTCTCGATGCGTCAAGATCACGTGATCCGGCTTTCCATGACCGTCGCGCTGATTGTCGTGATTGTCCACGAAGACGAGGACGTCCCGCGAGTCGAGCAAACGTCGATCGTTCTCGAGCCAATGCTCGAGGGACTTCAGTGGCTCCCAGCCCCGGAAGCAGCGTCCCAAGATATTTCCGTACACGAATTCCGTTATCGCAGCCAAGTGTACGTATTGCCATTTGTTCAGAGGCTCGTCGCGATCGAAGCTTATAACTTCTTGATAAATGAACGGCCGCTTGTTCGGGCCGAAGACTTCGGATTTCAGATCGTGCAGCCTGCTGTAGATTACTTCCAAGTCTTCCGGCCACATGTGCTTGACCGCGTCAACCCTAAATATTTTCGAGGCAAATATAGGTCATTTTCATCGTTATCGTAAATACGTCACTCACCTAAAACCAGCGACTCCAAAGTCGATCGCGCGATTGAGAAAATCGACAATTTTTTCTCTCACGTGCTCTCTGGCCAGGTTCAAATCCAGCAGGCCGAACAGCTTGCAATTTCGCATCTTCACCGGATCCGAGTAATCCTTCACCTTGATAACGCACGGCTCGTTGAAATCCTCTCTTGCGTAAGGCACGGCTGGATAGAGAAAATTGGCCGTATCGGCGCTCGAGCCGCCGCTGCCGGTAACCCGGCCCAGGTCCCCTCTCGTCGTGTGATTTATTATAATGTCCACGTAAACTCGCACGCCGACGGCGTTGCAACGCGAGACCATATCTTTGAAATCGTTTTCGTCACCGGATCGCGTTACCATTTTGTAAGACACCACTTGGTAACGCTCGTACCAGGGCCTCTTTGGCAACACGACGTTCTCGTGAATAGGAGATACCTGCCCCGCGCGCGTTTGCAAGGAAGAGAAATTTCACCAATTTTGTAATTTTGACGTGTAAAATTGCGCGTTATATTAAAAAAAAAAGAACCTGATTTATATCGTCTACATGTGCAGAATATTAATGTTTTTTACCTGCACGCCGGCGTAACCCGCTGGTCCCAGAAATAGTTCGCATTCTCTGGCGACGTCTTTGAACTTCCACTCGAACAAATGGACCATTGTTGTTCGATTTCCGGCATAATGTGGTTTTTTGTAAGCTTCGCCGTCGTAGTTATACGCCACAGCCGAGTACGCACAGAATATCAGAATCCAAATTAACGCGCTGATCATTTTTTAATTCTCTAAAACAGCATTGCTTGTAACGCAAGAATCAACTGTATAATTGCTCGAGGCACTTGGCGAAATATATAACGGGCTCGACGCTGTTGCTGCGCTGGCGCAATCGTCATGCAAATATACACTTGTAGCAGCGCAGCTCTAAATTAATGCTATATAGCACAGAGTCACGATCCGTCGTCTACCGGCGTGTATATCTCGCTAATAACGAAAAAGTCATAACTTCGACAAAGCCTACTTGTTTTTTATTAATACTGTCTCCCACGATTCGATTTACTTTACACGCAACAGTTACATTTCTATTATAATGCGCAACGTTCTTGATTGCTACTTTGTTGTCGCTAATCTACGCCACTAGTACGTACAATAAATCGAAAACGAAAGAGTATTTTCCAGCTACTTTACTTCACAACTTGACACGTGCGTTAACTCAGATAAATATAATTATACGGTTGCCTTTGTTGGCTGTACTTAAGCCAAGTTGAAATGAATTTTAATAAGATTAATTCAACATTTTTTACTATTTAACATGTACTTGTCAATTTTGAAGAGTGTGATTTATGGTTGGGTTCAACGTCAAGACATTAAGAGACAAAAATTTTATTTGTAATGCGACATCACGTGCATGCAATTTTCGAGCTTTTATTTCAATTTAATAAATATAAAATCGTATTAAATAAAAAATAACATTGATATTTGTTTTTAATCAACTTTAATTTCTTTTGTTGAGTCAAAGCTTCGACTGAAAAGAAAAAATGTTTATTTACAAATGATTCGAGTTAAAAGTTCTAAAAATATTCATAGTAATTTAATTACCCCGACGTGTATAGCCAGAACACCGTCTTCGGCATCTTTGAGAATTTGTATGTCGGCTTTACCATCGACATCAACTACGACCAACTTCCCCGTACAGTTACCATTTGTTTTACTACCGGATATAATATCGCAATACTTTCCACATGGAAGACCCGTCGACAATGTTTGATTCAAATCGTTTCCAGCTTCCCCGTTGAAGGCGATAAAAGCGCGGCTACCTCTTGAGAACGCTGCGTATAGCATTGACGAACCGCAGAAGTTGGTGGTGGTGTTGTCAGATCAGAAAATCAGAGCTCACATCGAAAAAAGAAGCGATAAGGGTCGGAGACGACGGAAAAATAACTCACCGATTTGATTATTGCCGTTGGACCACCAATTAGCCAGGCTCGCGTCGCTGCCGGCAACGTTGCGGAACCCGACCATGTTGTAAATTTGCCGCCAGCGGTGTTCGCACACCCAGCCGTGACCGCAGTGATCCGCCACGTGTCCAGCCGCAACGTTTCCGCTGATCGGGCTCGGCGAGAGCAAATTTTCATTGTCGTCGGCCGGGGGAGCCGAATTGGGGTCGGAAAAATTGAACGAGCTCATTACCCGCGGATGTCCGTAAGGATGCGCCAGCATAAACGCTACAGCCATCTTAATAATGAAATATTAGTTTAATAAAATTTTCGCTCTTTCCATGAAATTTTATACAAATTTCAATTTTAATTCTTGTAATACCTTGTACTGTTTCGGTTCTTTGTAGGTGAGAATAGTGCTACCCCCGCCACCGTGTCCTCGTTGGTTGTCGTGATTATCGATCATAACCAGAGCATCTTTCGATGGCAAAAGTCCGTTTTCTTGCGTGCCCCAATTTTCCAAGCTTGCGAGCGGCTGCTGGCCTCCAAAGATTCGGCCTAACGATGCACCGAATACGAAATCGATCACGGTTGACAAATTGTTATACTGAAATTTGTTGGCCGGTTCGTTCGTGAAAAAGCTTATGACTTCTTGAAAAATGAACGGACGTTTTTTGGTTCCGTAGACGGATGGTTTTAAATTGTTTATTTTTGAGTAAATAGCTTCTAAATTCTTGGGCCACATGTGCTTGGCTGCATCGATTCTGTCGCATAAAAATATTCCCAAGTAAATTAAAAGTGATTGAAAGCTCTATCAAAAAACGAAAATCAATCGCGAAATTTTATATTATAAAAAAAATGTGATGGCCAAATGCAGTTTGCACGATAAAAGAATTTCTCTGAGTGCAAGCTCACCTAAAACCAGCCACTCCGTGCGACACGGCTTTGTTGAAAAACGCGACGATCTTGCTCCTGACGTGCGCTCTGCCCTGATTCAGGTCGTGCATGCCGACCATCTCGCAATCTCTGATGCTCGTGGCGTTGGAATAATCGATGCCGCAGCGCGGCAGGTTGAAGTCCTTCGGCCCGTACGGGACCGCCGGATAACGAGGCGGGTAAGCCTTGGAGCCGCCCGTGCCGACGACGTTCTCGCCGTCGCCGGTCATGTGATTGATAACCGCGTCGACGTAGATTCGGACGCCGACCTTGTTGCATCGCCGCACCATGTCCCTGAATTGCTTCTCGTTGCCCGAGCGAGTGGCGATTTTGTAGGATACCGGTTGGTAGCGCTCGAACCAGGGTCGTCCCTTTATCACCAGATTCTCCGAGATCGGGGACACCTTGTGACAAAATTAAAGTACACATGTAAGTGTCGTATGGAACGGATAAATAGAAAAATCAACTAATTAGACAATACTTGAACACCGCCGTATCCCATAGGTCCTAGAAATGTTTCGCACTCTTTGGCTATGTCCTCCCATTTCCATTCGAACAGATGAACCATTGTCGTACGTCCTTCGGCGTAGTGAGGATCCTTGTAGTCGTCTGCATTGTACTTTTTAGCTGTACAGGCGTAAATCTGTAGCTGTAAAATTAAAAGCAACAACGAGCGGATGTACACAGATTTTTCAACCGGCAGTTTCATGTTGGTAAATTCGCTAGAAGTTATTCATTTGCCCGACTCTTCGACCGATCGTGTTATTATCCAACTTACTGCAGTTATTCACTCTCATTTATAATTTTTTTTCTCTGCATTTTTCCTTTTGCGTAATATCAACAAATATCTAGTCCGTTGAAAAATTTTAATTTATGCGTGCTGGTGTTTGAACTTTATATAAATTATTATTAAACATGCCAACTGAGCATGTAGAAATAATTCATAATTATCAGCGACGATCGGTATCGTTACATAATTAGTCGCTATTCGTCGCATACTTATTTATTTTTTAGATTTCTCAAGTTCAAGTGTCCTATTTTTTTATTTTAAAGTAGTGTACATAATAATCATTCGCAATTCTTTTTATTTCAACATTGAATTTTTTTTTTTTTTAGGTTTTTTAAATTCAATCACTGCAATCTCGACTGGAAATGCAAAGCCGAAGTTCATGCGTAAGAAAAAGTACCGATATAGACGTAGCATATTACGAGGAATCTGACTTTTAATGAACGCGGGACGATATTGTCTCATGCTCGCGACTCTATTGGCACGATTCGCGTCAATGGAAGAAAAAAAATGTGACAGCATCGACATCGAGACAGCAGCAGCAGCAGCAGCACAGCTTCTCGCGATATTATTACACGAAATACGACAGCTGATATCTGTCTCATGTGCGAGAGCGAGAGAATCGCATGGCTCTTATATAGACGAGGCTCTTGGCGCGCGAGGATGTCGTAGCACGTGACGTTGGATCATTAATCGAGTATTACACGCAGATACAGTTATCGCCAGCGACAGTGCCAATAGGCATATGGATCATCTCTCCCGCGATCGAGGCGAATCGTATACACAACACGCAGCAGCGGCAGTCGAGTTCTGTTGAACAGTTAATTCGTTCGGGGGCCGTTTCTCTCTATGCTGCGTGTATACTTGTTTCAATGGGATCGCGAATCGATTGTTTGAGCAAAAATAAAACACGGATATACGTATAGAGGATCCGCTCTAACAGTACTCGAGTACAATGTAGCTACTTGTCGTCGTCGTCCTTTATAGACTTCCTTATGCATGTATAGACGATATACATTTTCTTATGAGTAATCGATGACAGTCGCGCATCGGCGAACGCATAAAAATTTTTTATATAAAGTCTGCGCTCCGTTCATTGAATTCAATCCGCAGTGTAGGAGCAGTTCGAACCGCTATATATATACAGGTACTTGTAATTGCGTTCAAAGCCGCATATATCCATACATACGCTGCAAGCACACATTATCAAGTACAGGGTGTGCTGTATACATAAAAGTAGAGTTCTCGATAAACACGGCGAGTTCTGGGCCGTTCTAAGTTTATCTTTTGTCGGCGTACGCGCGTCGTGCTTACATACTTCCGCTGCAGTTGAATACACACACGGATCGCGTTTTAGGTGAGCGCGTGACTTTGCGCTCGTTGTATGTATAGTCGCTGCGCCTTGAGACGCTACCGCTCGCCCGAGCGCAGGTGTCAAAAAAGCTGGAATGACTTTTCGCCCGGAGTAAGTAGAGAGAAAAAGGGAGAGAGAGAGAGAGAGAGGTTTTAACGGGTCACCGAGCCGAGCGGCTCCTCTGCCGATTTCCCGGCTCTTTGCGCGTAACGGCTGATCTGCACTTGCGAGCGCAGCTATTATATATAATACGACCGAGAGTCACGCCAACCGACCGACCGCGCACGATGATGAGAACAACTGCAGAATGCGGGTAAGCAAACGAACGCATTAATTTTTGGTTATAACAGTTTGCACTGAATCATAACCCTTTTTTTTTAGCGTCCGGGCAAACGCGCGAGTACAGACGTGTAGTACAAACAACGATCTTTTGCGGGCGCGCGCGAGTATAACATCGATTACAATTCCGTGTGCAAAGTGTGCGCGTGTGCTTAACGGTCGCGTGCAGTGCCAGAGTGCAGTGCTGCTGCTGCAGCGCGATATATAATATAACGTCTGTGCGCGCGCGTGATGCTCTGGCGATGTCGAAGGCGAAAAACGGTACACGCGCTCAGTGCGAATTGGCTTTTGGGATATAGGTAGAGGCTGCTTGCTCAATCCTCCTCTTCGCAGCCCCGCGGTCGCACAGCTGCCTCCTGCTCGGTGTTTATCGACACTCGAGTTTGAGTCTTGACTTTTGCGCCTATATGTGTGTGTGTGTAGTTGAACGCGTAAGTATGCTCTCGACGACGACGATCGGCTTATATACATATAACAGCTCGTGCGAGGCACTAAACTCGTGATCGAGAGCCTGCCTGTACACTAGCCGCGAAAAATGTAGGATTCGGAATAGGAACTTGGAGAGCAGCATCCTTCTCGTTGCGCACTTGGCCACAACGACGTAGTAACCATCGAGAAATCTCGACCAATCATTCGTGAATTACAATTTTAATAAGCATTTCGTCGATTACGTTTTTATATGTATTATATACATTAAAATCGGCGAAATACATTGCCGCTTCCTTATTATTTTTATTGCTTTGAAAAATTGCCCCTGCACTCGATATGTTTATTAAAATTATTATTACGCGACGTGTCATAAGTGTTTCCTTGCGTCACGGGTGAAACTAATATTATCTCATAGACACAAATGTATGTATATCATACGTACAGAAATGACACTAAATAGGCGTGCAGCCATGTAAAAACACGATTTTTATGAACGTATTAGCCTTCGCGAGCTACAGTAGCAGCAGCAGCTTGATTATTCATGTAGTCAAAAGCAACCTCTCTCCCTCTCTCGTACACACAGTCATCATCTTTCGCGACAAGACCAAAACAAATAAAAGAGAAAAAAAGTGCGCGATACACGTATCCGCGACTCGACTTGCGCTACTATTATTTTTGCCCGCGATGTACGCGGATATTCTGAAATTTATTTCATCATCGTCGTCTTCCGCTGCTGCCAGGCTTGCGTGTGAACTTGAAAAATAACCTTTTTCGAGTATATCAGTCAGAGTTTGCCATTATCGAAATGTCTCGGGTTTTATGTGCGAGCGTGTATAATGAGTTTAATAACGACATTGACCGTGATCAAAAAGTAAACGTGGAGTGTATTTACATTATTAAAGCGATCGTCGTCATCGACAGCGCACGGCGCATAATTAATTTCCGAATCTGCCGCAACACCCACACACACACAATACCGCCTCGGGCAAGGCGCAGCGGACGTACATAATAACGCCTATATAACGCATGCGTTTATAACGAGAGTTTGCTTAATTCTTTTGCAGATACCCAAATTTTCAAGGATAAATCGTCTACCGCAGACACGGCAGCAACGGCAACAACCGAAACAGCTGCGTCAGAAGCGTCTTTAGTCAAAGGTGGAATCACATAATAGTCGAAGGTGGGCGATTAGCATTGCAACTCGGGCGCAGCGGTGATCGGCATTGTGCAACACAAGGTAGCGGCAGTGCGCAGTAGCGATGGCAGCGGCGAGATACACCTCGCAAAGATGCCTCGAAAGGTCATCGTCGTTGTTAGCTGCAGCAGCATCGGTCACGGTCCGATCCTACGGCAGCTGCTCGACCGTCGGCAGCGCGAGCAATTTGAAAGTAGCGCTGATCGGCGCTGGATCCGAAGCAGGTATATCATATTCTTGCGTGCACTCGTACGTCTGCAGTCACAAAAACAAAGCGCAGCTTCAAAGTCAAAGCCGTATTATGTATCGAGCTCGGTCGTCGCGAGATGAAAATGACGATGATGCGCACGAGTCGAGTGGCCCTGGTGTCCTGTAGTAGCAGCAGCTGACATTGTTGTCAAAGCCATATATTTAATAATAAGGTCGGCGTTCTTTGTCTCGATCGCATGCCTTTGGTCTCTATGCTATGTGGAAGGTGAAATTATCTAAGTCTGTGCACTGGCGCTGCCCAATTACATGAGGTAAAACGTCGCGGACGGCGACGACTTCATCCGCGAGCGTGCGTAATCAGGTCAATTATCGAAAAATCGCTTCTCATTCTCGCTCTCTCTTTCTATCACTCGTTTCGGGAGACTGGTCGTATGGTATCGGCGCGACGATTAATTCTTCGGGAAAATCGATCTCGATCGATCGCTAACTCGCGGCTATTTGGCTGTGCTCGTAGAATTTTCGACATCGGTGCTCGCCTCTCGAATCGATTGCGACACCCGAGTCAGACAGACTAGACTCGGAGCGAGAACCGCGAGAAGGGCTACAACGCGGCGGCGGCGGCTCAGGCTGATTAGTCCAATTTTTCCGGCTTATATGGCGACACGGCAAAAATACATCGGGGACTAAAACAATGCATGCGCGAGTAGAGAATAGACAGCAGCCACACATTACACACAGAGCTTAGCTCGAGAGCCTGTGTATGTGTGTGTGTAACTCTATGGGCAAAGCCCCCGAGGTGCTTTTGTATTTTAACACGCAGGAGACCGTGTAATATAACGCAATCGATTATGCCTGTACGTCTAGATAGAAACTATATATGGAGCACTTGGGCCAGTGCAGCGCAGCATAGTTCCATGCCTATTCTCGGCACTCGTGAAGTAACTCGAATAAAAAAAATCGCAGAACATCTAGAGCGTTATAATAGCTAATAGTCCTCCCCGCCCCCGGGTTTGGACCCCGGCCGAACGTAATCGCCCGCGAGCTCGGCCTACATAATATAAAACACACACACACACACACACACACACACACACACCAGATCCGTGCTCGCAAACAATCGTATTTGCCACAGATAAATATTGATCTAGTAAAAGAGAGTCGCGAGTATAAAAATTCAATTAAAGTCACCATCGTTGCAGTATTGCGCAAAGTGCACATGGCAAAGACACACATAATCGTACTCTCTGTGATTATATATAGCTATAGATCCTCTGTATCTCTTTTATTTATACATCCTTATACAGGTATATGCCATATAGCAGTGAGCAGAGAAAGAAAGAGTGAAAGTATATGTATCAGACAAGAGATTTTAGATGCATCACTCGCTCGTTGCTGGCCCCTATATACATATATCTGTGTGTGTGTACGTTCGATGTGTGTGTCCGTGTGCCGTATATTCGCCAGGCACATAGCGTGACTTTCGCGCGCGGGTGGAAATTTTCTTTGTACAGTCGCGCCACGAGCTCTCTGAGCAGCAGCAGCTACACAAGACAAACAAGTCCCGAGATTTGCGCAGATGCAGTTGAGGTATTATGTATATATGTATAGCCGCTCAACAAAGAAAAACGAACAGCGTAATAATTTCGTTTCAAAGATCTTTGTATTACTGTATATGTAGTAGCCCCAGCCTCGCTGTATATATATACACCGTACCACTAACCATACGTATCCTCGGCATAATGTATTATACCGATGGTATAGTAGTCAGCGCAGCAGTTGCGTAATACCAGCGCGCGCACACACACACTCACTTATGCCGATAAATCGGTAACAGTCCCAACTTGCTGTAGAGGTTTTCTCAAGGATCCTTTGTCTTTTTGAACGTCAAAGCTGGGAGGTGGGGGCGATGCCAGCCAGGCGCCTCGGCGTGCCTTCGCCACCGCTATTAAACGCTGCTGCTGCTCTACCTTTGACTTTCAATGTCTCGCGCACGTTAATTGCATGCAAAATATTAACAAATTACCTTCGGCAGTCGGCTGTCGCGACTGCTGCTGCTGCTGCTGCTTCGAAGAAAGGCCAAAGCTCCCGTTCGAACGTTTACGTATGCTCGCTTTTATTATTCCTTTATCCGAGCGCGTGAATAAATGCTTCTTTTTTTGCACGTCGCGAAAGAAGAAAAAAGGGAAAAAATCGGCTAATCGTGCGTTGGCAGCTATCGAATCACGTGTGGATGTGACCCACTTTTCTTTGTTGCTCGCGCGCTGCTGAAGCATTATACGTTTATATAGCTACCCATACGTATAGCAGTACTTTATGAACTTGCTGCCGAGCCGCGCGTTGAATTTTATGGTTATTACAAGCGGCAAAATCGAGCCTGTATAACAAGGACTTGGACACCGTGCGACGACGTGTCGGCAGCACGAGGCTCTCGTGTACACGGCAATTTCTCACAATTGACTCTGAGGGCAAACGCGCGACAGGCTGTTTCGCCTGTGTATACGTATACGCATATGCACTATATTTGCATGTGCGCGAGCAGCAGATTATCGATTTGAAATTGAGAAAACGAAATTACACGTATACGTACACACGCGGGACAAGCTCGATCGAGCGAGTCGGCCTTTACGCGCGCAATTTTTAAGCTCCAGCAGCAGCCGTTCCATTATTATTGGCTTCTCTCGGCCAACAATGAAAGAAAGCATTAACGTGTGTAAGACATTTTGCTGTTAGCGGCTGGTCGTAAGATCAGGGAAAAACCAGGTAAAAAAAAAGGAGCCATTGTGATCCGACAATAGGCTTCCGCGCATTTCTGCCTATATTTATGAAAATAATCGCATGCATTTTTATAATAAATAGAAACATAATATTGTCGAGATGTAATGAGAACAAGAGTCGTAAATGTTCGATTCCCATACACCATGGCGCGCATTGATTGCATTGTACAAACATTATTAAAATTGATATCGATCTATCTTCGCGCATATTATAATGCTCGGCATCTATAGAAATCGACAGATCGGCCTGAGAAGAAAATCGATGATTTAGCGAGTGGTTACCTCCTTCGATCGGTTGTGTATATCGATATACAAGCGCGGCGCGGAGAGCTTAAATGACTAGCGACAAGTTTTGCCGTTCGCAAGCGAAACACCTTGTATTGTTCTAAATATCGCACGCGTAAACAGCAACAGGCTTGCGCGCGTGCAAGCGAGTACATTACAGCTCGTAGCCTCCTAAATCCCACCAAAATCAGCGGCAATCGTTGGCATAATAACGCAAAAAAGTCTCGTTGCACAAACCCCGACGTCAATCGCAGTCGAGAGTCGTTCATCGCGCGCGCGCGCAGCTATTGTTTCAAGCTTTTTTTATTTTGGCGTATGAAATGAACCTTTTGTGTATTCCGATTCGACGTATACACACACACCGTAAGCTCTCTATATTAACCAATAAGTATCGATGGTTGAGAAAAATATTTACCCAGTCATTTATCTTCGATCACCTCTTGCTACACATTATACGGCTTGGACGCGTCGACTCGATTTATAGATGCAGAGCGAGCGTTGGCGTAAAAAACGCAAAAGGCTCGTTCGGCTTATGCGAAATAAACAGCCGAATTAATTCACACAGTTGCGCTTTGCGCTTTAATTACTTCATTCTTGTATTCTATTTTGACTTTTTTCTTATTCCAGGAAAAAATATGGCACTGTGCTTGAAGCAGTGTTCTCTGATCGACGAGCTGGCGCTTCACGATCTCGGCTCAGCAGTCAACCGCGTACGCAAAGATCTCAGCCGTTGCAACACCACGTGCATGGTCTCGGATAGGGACGATGTCTCGCTGGATAATACCTTGCTGAATGCCAAAATCGTCGCACTGATTGTCAGTGGAAGCAACCTGAGTCAAGAAGCTAGGGAAATCGAGCGAGTCGTGCCGAAAATACTGCAATATTGTCCCAAAGTAAGCACTTCCATACGAAGTTGACGATTATTCAATTTATTCGTTATACTTTGCTCCACTCGAGGAAATGAAGAGTGCCGATCGACTTCACAGACTTAATTGGATCTTAAGTTTACGGCTAATGCTTTAAATTACCAGCCGATCAAAATCCATTAGCTGCTCTAGGCTATGCACGTATGAATTGCACTGGATTATAGGCTCATTTTAGGCATTTTAAAAGAATCTCATTTCACGCGGCAGTGGCGGTGGCGTCGGCAGCGCAAAGTAGTGACGTTACGTAAAACAATTACTTTCATTCGCGTATTATGTCTATATAGTAAATATGGTTAAAATAACTCTGGATCACACGATGCCGTCGTCAACGCCGCGTGCCACACGATATGGAATACACGCGTCGTTGGCGCGTTTATGCGAAATTTGCGCCGAAACTGAAAATTCATACATGTAATTGAAGCATAAAGCGCAACGTTTTAGCCATTAATTTTCCCTTCGAGTATCCGTAATACATTTATAATGCAGCGATAAATATATAAGCTCGAGAAAGTCAAACTCGGATTTCACACACATACACACACGCGCGGTTATATTTGTCTATAATAACAACGTCAGGAGCAACGTCGGTAACATATTCCCAATTACGGAAGTGATTATCTAATTTAATACGCTGCACACGGAGCCGCCGCTGCTCCGCGATGTCTCATAGCTCTGCTCGCGGAGAAGTCACGATAATGTGTCATATAATATGCGCGAGCGCGCGGCAAAGGATAAAAAAAATGCCCGCCACGATCTCGCTGCAGCGCGAGATGAGAGTGAAAGAGAAAACAATAAAGCCTTCCAGTCTCGAGGAAGAATAAGATATTAAAAATGCAGTTTAGTCATCGACTCGTGGGCCTATAGATTTTTTTCTCCATCTATAAAGGACCGCCTAATCGTACCAAACAATGCTAATGAGTATTGACGTTTGGGCTGTGCATGTATTTTTGTGCACACGTCGTGAAAACCTGTACATAAATTTTATATGCGCGCGGCGCAGTGATACCCGAGCAGCTTGTAAACTCGTGCAGCGGCGATCAGCTTACTCAATTGAATTACGAAAATCCAGCTCATAGGCATTCATGTATTATATACATGCATAAGTAGGTTCAATATAAGTTAGCGACTATTTGTTCGTGGCGCAGAGCGCACGGCCTCGTTATTCGATTGATTTCGTGTGACACGTGCGTGCACCTTTGTGCATAATCTCCGTAACTCGCTTCTCATTTTGCATGTCGTCGAGAGAGTTTTGTTGATCGAGTCTCCTCCCACTACCTCCCTCGCTATGCCTTTTTTCTTTCTTACTTTGTTTATTTCTTTCTTTTGCCTGTCCATTCATTACAAGCTCGGTAATTGAAATCTGCTTTGGATTACATAAGCTTTACAGTGTATTCAACGGGGTAAAACGCACGATGCGGGGCTCTCCGCCGCGTTCGAGATATTTCGCAGAGCGAAGCAAATACGTCCAGACGATAAGATCGTTCGGTCAAAAAAGGATGGTGCAAAACAAGTCAGGAGAGAGAGAGAGAAGTCCAGTTTAGCGATGATGATGTTGATGTTGAGATAGGATCGAGCACGGACCATCTCTCGCACTCGGTGTACAACATCGTATACTCGGAAAAAGTACTTCCGCCGTACATTATCTGCAGCAAATATAATTTATACGCGCCTGGTATATACGTGTGTACATAATAAAGTATACATATAAATGGGAATAAAAGTTTATATATGCAACTTGACTGCACGGCAAGTCGGACTCGGTCGCGTATATTTATTTATACGTACCGCCTCATCACCGATCGAAACGAGCTCCTCCGATGTTACCACCTCGTACCGTGTATCAACACACAACAGCAACGCGCCAACAACACAGTCTCGCGCGCATACAAGATAAACCGCGAACGCCGCCGCCGCCTCGGCCGATCGTTATTCCTCGTAACATAACACACACATATCTGCGTGTGTGTACGGCTTTCAAATTGAACGTGGCTTTTCAGAAAATTGGCTCTTGAAATTTCGCGGCAAAAATACATCTAATACGCTGCAATGAGTACGTGCGCGAGTACGAGAGAATATCAGCAACAAGCGGAATCTTACGGATATGTACATACACACATATCGCGCAGCAGCATCTGTATTATAACATAACGTGGCATTAGTTTTGAAAGTAGTTGACGCCTCGAGCCTTCGTAATAATTTAGCGCAGATCAGAGTAATCCGACAACACACATATATACCATATAAGTATTACGAATCACGGCGACTTTTCTTTTTCAACACATTTGAATATTCACACGCTTTTATGTGTGATATCTCGCGCGCGACGCGACGCGTAGTATGATGCCTATACGTCGCCTGATAAATATCTCGCGTGTATTACGGTTTAATTTTGATTGAGCTCCCATCGCGCGAAACGTGAATTAAATATACGTACGTTGCAGCTTTTCACTCGACGACGACGAGTGCGCGAGGTTTTTCAGCTAATACCTATCTTATTATACATGCACGCGCGCCTGTGCCTCGCCGCGGATGCACCGTTAGCCGACGCGTATACGCGCGCGCGCGAGGCTTTACTTCATTAATTTTCTCACTTTATTTCTTCGCTGAAGCGATATTTAAACTTTTTGAATAATGGAATACATATTTTTTTTGCAGTAAAAGCTTTGTTGGTAAACAAAAACATGACGCCTTTGTTGGCGTTCCATGTCAATGGGCCATATCGGTGACATGTATAAGGCTTTCATAAAAGAGTGGCGCCTGATAATAAATTTCGCGCTTAATTATTCTGTCGCGTTGCCTTCGATGTTTTGAAAAATTTAGTAAGAATTATCAGCTTGCATTCAAAACCTCATTGATTTCATTCTATTAAGTTAAAAGAAGTTGATTAGGAGCTATTGTTCCTAATACCATGATAAAAATAACTGGCCGAAAAAATAGCTATAATCAGTCGATAACGAGTGAAACGAGCGTTAAAATCAATTTTTATTGACACAAGAATCCATTCAATCTGTCAAAATGGTTTTGTTTTTTACTTTTTATTTGCTCGTTATACCTGTATGGGCTATAATTCAATTTTTTTCGCAATTGTCCTCTATATGTCATTTTCAATCTTAAAAATATTTACACAGCAATATACTGTGTAAATAATGCGAAAAGTTGATTTACTTGTACTATTCAATAGATTAGTAACGATTAATTGATGTATAATTGTATTTTCTAGGCATTCGTCGCATTGGTGGCACGTTCGGTCAACAGTTTACTACCTATGCTGTTCGAACGCTACAAGAGGGATGGCCGATTCGAGAACGATCGTCTCTTCGGAGTGCTGAATTATTTTTCCACGCAAGCCAGTAGTTTTGCCGCCCAGAGGCTGGGCATCGACCCGAACTCGGTGAACGTGCCGATAGTCGGGGGTGGCTGTCCACAAACTGCGGTGCCACTGTTTTCGTTAACAACGCCCGCTGCCACTTTTTCCCCGGTGAGCATATATTTTTGCGCAAGTAAGAAAAAAACAATGGGTCGCGAGACTATGTACGCTATTTTTCTCGGCTAAAACTAAGGAGTGATCTATGCCGATTAATTACCGTGCCTAAGAGTGAAAATACTCCTACAATGTCGTGTACCGCCCAAATGATTGGTGAAATTGCACATGTATAATGATAAATCAAGCGGTTACGAAATTTCCGATCGGCTCTTCGCGTCTATATATATGCACATATATGTGCGAAGCTTATATGTACAAAGCCTCGTAAAATATCGATTCTGCAAAGCGCTCGTGTCTCGGTGCCTGCACGCTTGTACATATTATATACACACTATATACATGCATAATGTGCACGTATAAAATTTCTTATACCGCGGGAGTACGTGTTATTGGCTATCATGACACTTTATCATTGTACAATATAGGAGGAGCTGTACAGATTAAGAAACGCGATGAAAAGGGCAGACGAGAAGGTCGCAGCCGAGAAATGCGGAGAAGGCGCCTCGAGCCCGACGACGACGGAGCCGTACTCGTGGCCGATGTGCGCTGGCTTCGCGGCGGCTAAATTTTGCGTCTCGCTTTGCAAAGGTCAGTCGATGCAATGTGTCTGGAGTAGTTATATGTGTATACGTACTCGCCCGCACGCGAGAGACAACTCGTTTTCTCTTTCTCTATATACTATAAACACGCGCACGCATATTCTCCACCCACCCTCGTTCTCTCTCTCTCTCTCTCTCTCTCGCGAGTGCGATGGAGACTCGAGCGAGTATAAGCGCAAGAGTGCGTATTTATGCACTGTCAAGGATTACCACTGCAAATTCTTCTCTCCTCTTTGTTGTTTTTTTTTGTCGTCGTTGTTGTTTTTTTTCGTCTGTCATCGTCGCGAGGTACGACGTTTCGCACTCGAGAGCGCGGAGAATGTGATCGAGTCTACACGCTCGAAATACATTATTCAAACGAGCGGCCGAGAATTTTGTTAAATAGCTTCGGCTGATTTATAACGATCGCCGTGGATACAAAAAAAAAGCCACAATTTGTCCGTGCGCAATCGATAATTCGATCGGCAGAGTCAACGCACACGGCGCGCGCGCGCGCGCTCGCTTATGCGTTGACAGTAATTTTCAAACAAATGAGAGTCAATTTCTTGGCTCGGGCTCTCGCTCCGTCTCTCGGCTATATGGTTCTTACACGAAGTGATAAAAAATGGTTTTTCAAAAATAACCGGAGAAAAGACTGCAAGTCATATCGCGTCGACGTTTCATAAGAGGGCATTAGGCTTGTCGGTAGGAGTATCTCTCTGCATACACCACTGCCGGGGCGCACGGGATACGTAAGTCTCTGGTGTACACGGAAAAGTGCCAATCTCTCTATCGTCAAAATTCGATGTCGTCGTCGTCGTAGTCCGCGCGCACTGCTGCACCGTCGCTTGTCATAGCTCGTAGCCTGCCTGCTGCACAGAGGTGCACCATAAAGGGCAAAAGTCAGTCATAGTGCACCGCAGCTCGAGATTCGTGGGGCATATGTACATAAGGCTTGCTCGCGCGCGCGCGCGCAGGCGAGCACAGCACAGCCGCCAACTGCAGATTATAACGGAGAGAAAGCGTGAGAACAGCGTCGTTGATTTTTCAAACGGTTGCGGGAGGACTTTGGAAAATTCTCTCTCTCTCTCGCTTGTGCTCGCTCGCGCGGAGACAGTATCTGAAGCAGCAGCAGCAGCCCGTGCGCGCGCGCGAGCGATGAAGTGCAGTTCGGGGGGCCTCTCGGGCGAAGGGCTGCGCACTTCGTGATTCAATTATTCTATTAGTCGCGTCGAACATGCGCTACCGCAGTATGTATGCATATGCATAGAGTCCCATAACACACGGCAGTTGCACGGACGTACCGAAATCTTTGCTGCTGCTGCTGCTCCTCGATAGTTTGGACTGCTGCTGCTGCTGCTGCTGTGTAATACGTGCTGCAGACAACTTTGTGCGATATCTAACTGCTGCCTATATACCCGATCCCCGAGTTACCGTTTCTCTCGTGCGGGTCGGCCTCGCCGACGACGAGTGTGTGTGTCGAAATCTGCACAAATTTCCAACGAGGCCTTGTTTTTTTTTTTTTTCGCTTATTTCAGAGCGAGCAGAGAGAACCTCGCGATGTGACCTGCATCGATTGCATCGAATTCACCAAAGACTCTCGTGTATAATATGTAACTGCGGGACGCGTGCGCGCGCTCAAAAGTATATAGCCTGCGCGCGCAAGAGAGAGAGAGAGAGAGAGAAGGCAATCATAAGGGCCGTGCAATCGCGAGGATATTTCGTGATTCGTGTTTATATACAAACTCGTATAAACATCCACACGTTGTATGCGCGGCGGCGGTGCACATGTGTGTTCACGTGAGGCGAGGAGATTTGTTCGGAATATATGTTACAGCGACTTTTTTTTTCTTCTTCGCAAATATATGGGCCGCTACCGAGCTGTGCCTAATTGGATGGATTTGGGGGAGATTATCGCACCGCTACACTTCACTCGTTAAAATCTCGAGAGATGCCTCGACTAGATATGCCGCTGCTGCTGATTATTGCTCATGCGACTTGATATTTGGGCTGCGATTTCGCAGTCGATTACATTTTTTCTTTATTCGAGCCTGACGAGAAGTCGTTGTACCGTCAGCTGCTGCGGGCTTGACGCGCGATCGTGACGATTTTGGGAAATACCGCGGCGCGCTCGATGTGTACGACACGAATAATCGTCTGAGCGTCTGAGCGGAGCCTGGCTGCTGTAGAGCTGTAGCTACTGTAAAATTTATGAAATTGCGCCAAACGGCGCCTATCGTACAATTAAATTTCACAAATGCCGCGCAGTTTCGTCATTGATTGACGTTTCGATTGTCACAAAAATTCGACATTGTGTCACGGCGCTCGACATTTACATATTACGAGTGTTTTTATCGTGCTCGAGAGTGCGCCTCCGAAATTCCAAATTGCAAATGCAGCCGTGTCCACTCCTGCGACCAAATTGGCGATTCCTCGCGTACACGAAAAATACCTTGCTTCGAACGATGAAAAATCCACTATATTCGTTGATTCTCCTCGGTCGCGTGTTCGAAACGTCACGAACGCTTACTTGAGCAGCCAGCGTAGCGCGATCGATAGCCCCGATCAATTTTCGTGCGTCCTGTCCAATTCCACCCACGTTCTCTTATCCACATAGCGACGTGTAGCCATGGCCACATTGACATAAAATGTTAATTTAATAAGAAAATAAAAAAAAAAAATACTAAAAGAAACAAAAAAATTTACCTTTACAGCCATGAAGGACGAAGCAGGTGTGGTCGAGTGCGCCTTCGTGCGTTCGTGCCTCATACCGGGACTTAATTACTGCGGCGCACCGCTTCGACTAGGCCCGAACGGAATTCAACGTCACCTGGGACTGCCAAAAGTCAGCGCTGACGAGTGTCAGCAGCTCGAGGAGGCCATTCCTCTCATTAGGAGGGATATCAAAGTTGGCGAGGTAAGGGGCTTGCATACACACTCGCACAATGCGTCGCGCAGCACTGACTCGTGGCGAGTTTTTTCTACTTCTCTCAATTAGCGCCTTTTGTTATGATTATGTTCCTTCGCTTGGCTCGCTCGCTCGCCTTATATTTTATCCGCGTCGAGAAAGAGGAACCTTTTCAAGAAATTGACGCGTGGGAACTCGGGACTGGTTCTTCTCTTGCATTTTTCATTCTTACCGAAACTTCAAAGAGATTCTCAAAGTTGATAAAGGGCTCGTAATATGAAGAGCTATGATGGGCTCTTTAATTAAGAAAGAACAAGTTGCTCGCGCTCGTTGGCCAGTCGCTTTAATGTACCTTTTTGATGCGCGAGCATTATTTTTATTTCTCTTAATTCTTGCGAAAAAAAAGAGAGAGAAAAAAAAACGTGACTCGAATGTAATTGCATTTTTCTTACGGTATATAATTTGAATGCGTGCGCTCGATATAACGCTATATACGCGCGTGGCACGCTCCATCGAGTTTCGCTATATAAGCGCCGAAAGGTCCGAAAAAGCTCGCCTCGTGAAGAAATATCCGCCGATTCACAATTGACAAAACAAAGCGTGCGCGCTCGATCGACGACGACGCTCGTGTATACGGTGTGCGACGAGAGTCGTGCGCGCGCGCGCCAACGCGAATATTAGCTTTCAATGCGCGCGGTTTATACAATTTGGGAGAAAAGAAGCGGGTCTGTCTCCGGGATACAAGCGTACTCTTACAGGGGGGAGGGAGGCAGGGAAATTTCGCAACATTGCATAATACACATGTGTGATTTTATTTATCGCTCTCTTTCCTCCGGCCAAAGGGCTTAGCGCTGGGATACGGAAAAGTTTCGAGCGAGATCTGCCCCGAACAGCCGCGTTGCAGCGCTCTTCAGCATTACCAAGGCGACAACCAGAAGAAACGAAGCACTGCTGCGTAGTCAGAGTCGCGCGCGCTTGCAACGACACGAGAGACGCAAGAGTCCTTTAAGTAGGTTAATCGCGCATTGTGTTTCGATCTTTTTTTTATGCCTTTATAACGCTCTGTGTGTGTTTGTGTGTATACGGTATACGCCGCATTGCATTATACAATCGATTTTTGTCCTGTCTTGTCTGTCCATGTCTCTCTGCTTTCGCGCGACTATTGTGTCCAACTACGACGATGTTTACTGCTATACTTACACAAACGTAAGTCGCGCAAACAAATACATATAAGTCTGGTAAATAGTCTCTTGTAAATTCGTGTTTCCGCATGCTATGCGAATTTCGTTTAATCAGCGTAAATTATGATGAAAATTCTAACTGGTTACGTTGAGCCCGTCGAGCATGTACGCGCATAGCATGCACCCGCTCTCAGCTGTGCGCATTCGCTTGATTAAATTACAAAACCTTACGTAATCGGAGCAATGTGTATTATTTCTGATTCTTACAGATTCTTTGGGCGTTCTCTGGCCCAATCGCGCGCCTGTTCTGCCTCAACAATGGGAGCTTGAAAATATTTTTTAAAAAGTCGCTGCAACGGGTGGTGCCCGCGATAGTCCGTCGATAAAAATAAAAAAGTCCAGAACCGCTACAACGTCTAAGCAACGTCGCGTATTGCGCGCGTTATACACACGAGCGAGAGTACACGGCCGGTGCACTCGTGTCGTTTGAAAATATGTCTCATCTTTTCTCTTCCTCGTTCGAGCAGTGTTGTGCAGCAGCTCACAGTCGGTGAAAATGCAAGCTTGTTTTACTAGAAAAGAAACTTCACGGATGATTCGAACAGCGAGAGCAGCAGCAACTGGAGTAAAAAAAAAAGAGAGAGAAAAATTTATATACAGGAAAAAACGTCCATTTGTGTTAAGAGCGCAGCATTGAGATGTTCATAAGGTAAAACATAAAAGTAGTGAAACTGTATCGCGCGCACGAGAGTTTCGTTAAAAACTTGCACGATTAAAAGAAAGTGCTGCATGGAAGCTACCGAGACACGAGGGAAGAAGGTAACAGCTATAACGCGACGACGATCTTGTTAGTCGTTAGGGGGCTTTTTTCTACGCTCGATATAGTAAGTAATAGCGGTGTATAGATTGTAAATTGATTTTTGATCGAATAATTAATCGAATTAGCCTCTTACGAAGGAGTCGATGGAGTTAGCTTGCATGACACAAGGAAGGAGATATCAGCTGTGCTCGTGCACAACCATACGTCACGATGAAGTGATTCTTATTTCACTTGCCTGATACACCGCGAGTACACGATTTGACAAAAATTCCATGCGTATTTCCTCGGGTGAATCGCTTCGTTATACATACCATACAACTGCGATATGTAATAATATGCGTCCAAATGTCTCGGTCGGTCGGTTCGTTGCGGGTTATATAATACCGCGCGGCTTTTCCATGCGCCTCGCGACTTACTCTCTTCTCTCGCGCGCGCGTCAAAGTGTCAATCCCCGGGCTCGCGTGCGTTGGATCACACCGAGCGTGAAGCGTCTGTCATCGCGCGCGGGCGCGCGTGCAAGCATACGATCCTACATAGGAGTATATAAGATGCACTACACAGACAGACAGAGAGACACGATCGCAGCATAGCAATGGAATAGTCTTCCATATACCATGTTGATCCTCTCCGCTATATATACAATCGTCAGGGGGGGCTGTTTATAAGACGCGCATCTCTCTCTCTCTCTATCTCGCGGTTTTATGATTGCGTTGCAGCTATCCTCTCTTTTCATCTCGCAGCAGCAGCAGGATCAGTTTCATTTGACCAAATGCACTTATACGCTATAGCGCATGTTACATGCGTGTTATATACGGGGAAGCGACTCGAGCTTTGTATACGATCCTCGAGCAGATCTGCTGCGCGGAGAGGCTGACTGCTCACTGCGTCGTCATCGGACGTATGGACACTAGATGCTGCTGCGTATATATGCAGTTTAAGTGTGTGTGTGTGTGTACACGCGTGTGTGCAGAGCAGCAGCATATAGGACTGGAAAACCGGCCCATGCCACTAGTATAGTTGCGTGCACGGCGCGAGAGCAGCGAGTCTTCCGCATTCTACGCTATTCGCATGATGTACTCACATCTATATGTATATTGCTCGCTGCGCAAGAGCTGATGTTGATGCGGCTGCAGCAGCGGCTACAGCTACAGCTGCTCTTCTTCTTATACACTGATTTATAAAGGAATATACATACATTTATATATACGTGCGGCTAGAGAGAAGGAGAGAGAGAGAAAGATCTAAGCGAAGAGAGGGTCTAATGAGACCTTGAACTCTTTCGCCGTCTCTCCTTGCCTCTCCTCGCGCTCTCCTTTCTGCACACACGATGGATCTCTTTGCGTGTACGCCAGCAGCAGCAGCAGCAGCAGCAGCAAACTCATTCTAGGAGAAAAGTACATCTACAATTGTCGGCTCCGGTGCAGCTCATTACGTTACACGTGCTCGCGCGCGTGCAGTGGCAGTGCCAGGCAGCAAAGCTCGGCGCGGCAGGCAGGCAGACGGCGCACCGCACTGCTACCACTACTTGACGCGCGTGTATTCTTCGCGTAATAGATCGAGTCTGTATGCAGCACCGCGATTACACGTATACAGCCATTTCACAGTGCAGCAGCCGCAGCGCAGCGCGCACGGCAAGGACGTGGCTTCCTCCTTTTCGATTTATAAGATCATTTCTCCACGCCCTATCATCTCATTTGTAGATAATACGAGGAGCAGCAGCAGTACAGCGCAAGCAAGCCTGCGAGCGTATTGCTGTATAGTGCATAGTATGCCACCGCTACCGCATCGCTAGAAAAATCAAATGTATTAGATATATATACGCAGTTACTGCTGCACCGACTGCAGCCATCGTTTGCGCGCTCTCTCTCTCTCTCTCTCTCTCTCTCTTTCTCCATACAGCCGTGGCAGCAGCTTGCACCGTTCCACAGCAGCAGCAGCTCTTGTTTTTCAAGCAATTATTATTCCGTGTGGCGCGATCTCATTATCCATGCGTTATTACAGAGTACCGAGTATTATTACTACCAGGCATTGTAACCAAGATTTTTCCTATATATATAATACCGTGCGGCGGAATCCCCGATGCGTCGAACGAAGAATTCGTTTCCCATAATCGCGCGCACTGCGCGGCGCGTATACAGCTATATACATAGGTAGGTAGATACGTAGCTTTGCACCGACGGAGCTGCACCGCACGATACATTATTTTATTTGCACTCATATACACACGTAATACAGCTGTCATGCAATTCGTGTATGAGTGTGTGTGTGTGTGTGTGTATGTGTATACATCATAGACATTTAAAATTCCTCATAAGCGTAAGTAATGGCTAAATTATATAAATTACCTGGTGCACGTGCTCGCGAACGCGTGTATACGCGGGTATACGTATTGGCTACGTCGGACTTTGGCAAATTATTGGGGCAGGTGGAAAAAACTCGCTCGTCAATCAAAATATCTGCCAGCGAGCGCAGAACTCCAGTATGTAGTATGCAGCGGCCGGCAGCAGTGGCTACGCTATATTTTATAAATATTTATGTGTATATGCGTTCTATATGCTTATATGCAGTCCGCGTTATACAGCAGCAGCAGCAGCAGCAGTAGCAACACACATTTTTACTCTCTAAAAACATCGTCGAGTATGATTAGTGCATATGTACACACACAGCAGACAGACACTTATCGAACAAACTAGACTACTTGCCTGATTACTTTCTACATCGTTACTTTCATTACTTCCCACTTTCTTCTCATTCTCTTCAGTGCCGCGCGGCCAGTAGTAGTATCTAGTAACTAGGATAGCTCCGCGCGCCACTAGTGCACCGTAGCAGTAATAGCGGTCCATCGCTGGCCAGCTCTAAATTTTACTTTCGCGCATCGACTCCTTTATCTCTATATCGGTCGATTCTCTCTCGCTCCTTGCACGACGTAATAAAAGCTCTGCAATACGTAAACCAGCGTCGTTTTAATACGCTCTGCCTTTAATGCTCGAGTCGGATGGATTTTTCAG